AAATCAATCATTGCTAACTTATATACATATACATTTATACAATATACGATTTCTTCGTTTTTCTTTTCTTTTCTTTTCTTTCTTTTTTTTTGTGTCTAATTTCGAAATACATACCAACACATACACGTATTCATTCACTGATGTCGATCATCTATTCAGGCTATTTATCACATGTATGTAAGTGCGGATAAAAAAGGATGGGCAATTTTGCATCTGTAAAAGCGATCATCGATGAAATTTCTCCTTATTTTTTATTTCTTTCATATAGTAAAACATAACTGCACATAATCTATCGACTCGACTTTATCACTCTATACCATACATCAATCACTCAAACTTATTTATCGAATTCCATCACGTGTATTTCTTATTTTTAATACTTCACTTTATATATATGTATATACATATACATATATATAATACATTTATATATACACTTACAGAATCGATTGAGACACCAACACCGAACTATTACCGGAAATTGTCGTTGTCGTGATACCGAGAAGGCGATATCTCTATCTGTATCATCATCGACAAACATAATAAGTAGTATTAACAGAGAGAGAGAGAGAGAGAGAGATGCGATGGAGGCGCAAGAATATCCTAATCAAAGGCGAACAGTAATAATATAGAAGAACAACAAAACAAAGGAGACGAACGATAGGCAAAGACATAGGAAAAAGGATACTCTTGGCGAGCGATCGTTATGGGTTAGACTCGATCTATTATCATTATGCGACATATAACTAGAGAGCGAGCGTCAACAGTGACGATTACATGATTAGTTCTTGTACTCAATGTAAAAGAAAAAAAAAGAAGAAGGTCGACGACCTCTCTTTCTTCCACACAAAAAAAGTAAGGTGGACAACTTGGTTATTTAGTAACCGTGCTGATCATTTGATAAGCAAAAATATCATAATCAAAAAGGTCATTCTCACACACACACATATACACAATAGTTTTAAGAATAAACATAAACAAATATACATACACTCGTATTAAACTTCTATGTTGATAAATATTTTAAGCTTTGTTAAATTGTTTATTACACAATCATTTGATCACTTCATTTATTCGTTTTCTTTTTGTTCTCTCTACTGAATTGATCAACAAATCTAACTCGAAAAGATAGATAGAGAAACACTTGACAAAGAAAGAAGTAGAAGAACAAGAAAGGTAAAGATAATAGTTTGATGTGTCATGTCAACAAACAAAAAAAAAAAGAAAGAAGAAATCAACTGTATAGATAGGAGAGAGAGAACACTTTACCTGAATTGATTTCAAATCAAATGAAGTCCAATGTTCAATATTTTTACTAGTCGATGTCATTCTTCATCTAAAAAATTTTAATTAAATTAAATTTTTTAATAAGATTAATAGGAATTTTTATAAATCTACAAATAAAATTTTGATAGATATAATATGTGTTCAAGAATTTGTCCTAGGACATAACCATCAATCTGAAACGTGTGTTTGTGTGCTTTGGTAGCGAGGTGTATGCACTCACCTGCATCTGCCAATATATATATATATATGGTTCTGATTGTTTTACTTGCCTTTGTCTGTGTACGGACAAGTAAGTAAATGGGCAAACTGATAAACGATGGTAGTAAAATTTCTCTTTCACTCTCACGTTCTTTTTATCCTGCTTCTTTTTTTTTTGCTTCGAATGTTTGTTCCGATCATGTTGTTATCGACTCGACGACAAAGTCACGGCTTGGCGAGTGATCGCGCAAGCATGTGCACACACATACGCATATAATGACGACTTTATTGGAAATGGCTGTTTATGATCGATTGCCAGCCAACTCGACATACAACACGTCGACAAAGAAACAGAAAGAAACAGCAAAATAAATGCGAGAAGAAGGAGAAGAAGAACAAGAAAAGGTACAGACGATAGTACGTACAATCACAAATATGTGTATATTCGATACTGCTTCAAAGTTTTCAATCAATCTAACTGATACTAAATCGAATCGATCACAAAGCGATTGATTTGCAGACCATAAAAGCAGAAATAAATCGATACACATATATGTGGCAAATTGTCATTTCTTTTTTTTTTGCCCCTCCAAGAATATATATGTATATGCGTGCATTGATGTACTCAAGGTAAAAGCAAAACGACAATGACGATCTTACCTTACTGATCTAATCAATTCTGTCGTGGAGATCATAATAATTCTTTTCCAGGCCGTCATCATCTTTCTTCTTCCTTGGGGGCGACTTATTGAGAGAGTATGCACCTGATTTATGATCAGTTTTATGCGTGTATGTGTATGTCTACTCCTCCCTCTTTTTTCTTCTTCTTCTTCTTCTCTTTCTTCTTCTCCTTCCTAGTTCGATTCACTTGTCTATACTACTTTCATGAATGCTCAATGTTAATGTATCGAAAGTAAAAGGAAAAGACAAGAGAAAAAATGTCATCAGTACCCGGATCATTTCAACATCAATAAATCAGGTAGATTTTCTCTTCTCTCTCTCTCTCTCTTTCTTCTCAATGGTACCATATTGTCAATTTTGTTAAATATGCAAGCCCGGGAGGTGACATCCTGCCAGAAGAACATGACATGCCATCAACATATGCCCACATACTCATAAGGGCTAACTCTCATATGAAATGATGATGATGATTGGCACTGGGAAGTAGAATAAGAGAAGAAGAAGACACGAAATGTAGATTAGATGCGATTGAAGAAAATTGCTTGAAAATTAATGAGAAAAGAAAAGAAAAAGAAATAAAAGGACAGGTATAGTGATCGAATGGTAAACTATACCTTTAATAGGAAAAAAATCCCAAGTATTCATTAATTGTAGAAATAGTAAACGAGAAAAGGAAAGGTTAAATCAATGGATTTTTAGACAGCACAATAAGATGAAAGAGTATGACATATAAAAGCTAATGATCACTATTACAATAAGTCTCAAAAGACATAAAGAAATAAAATATTTATAATGTTCTTACTTTCTAGCTAATTTATAAATGCAGTTCGAAATAACTCTATCACTCATTATTTTACTTGATATGTTACCTTTTATGATAATAAATCAGAAGAATATCATTGGAATTTTATTTATTTATTTGAGCGAGAATATAATAATCCTAATCGAAGAGTTAGTTTCACATACAAAAGAATAAATGTAACATGAAATTTGCCAAGAAAACATGATCACATTTGAACAAGACTAACAAAGATATTTACATAACAAAAAAAAACTTCATCGGAATAAAATATTATTTAATTTTTTTTCAATTTTTGTTTCTTTGCTGGTTTGGGTTTACAACCTTCGTCATCTTCATTGATTGCTTTTCTAGATTTTTTCTTTTCTTCTCGTGCGCGTTTTCGTTCATTGACTTCCATTTGTAAACGTTGTGCATTTTCATAAATATATCGATAATTTGCTGGTTCAATATCAAGTGATTGATCTTGAACACGTTCTCGTGCAGCATACGGTACTGCTATAATAGCACTTTGTTCTTTATCTTTTATTTCTAACATAATATCAAATTGAAGATCACGTGTTTCTTTTGTAAATAATTCAAAATGTTTTTCATCAATATGATCAGCATGAGCACCAACACGTTTTCCAGTTTGTTGTGTAGCATAATCTATCATAGGACGATGACCATTTGGCCATGTAGCAAAACATTGTTTCATAGCTTCCATCATTGTTTCACCATTATTTAAACAAGCATGATGAAGATTATCAAAAAGAATGGGTATTTGTGTATGTTCATGAATATAAAGACAGTCTTGAACAGAAAATAATCGATCATCATTTTCAATAACAAGACGTCGACGAATTGCATCATTTAATTTAGTTTTATATTTATCAATAAAACGATCCATTGATGCCTAAAATGAAAATCAGACATTTTCATTGTATTGAATTTATCCAAGGGGGAAAAAGCGGATCCTCCGAATTTTTTGAATCCTGAGAGATCCTATGGATCCTAACATTCATAAGAATCTATGAGGATCCGCTTTTTTCCCCTTGAATTTATCTATACTAACCTGTTTATCACCATATAAACCTCCCACATGAATTTGTATTTTTGCAGTTGAATCTAAATCCATTTCATCTAATAATCGACAATGATAATCTAATTCAGCAATACTTCGATTTATAATATTTTCATCTTTAGCATTAATTAAACAAAATTGATCTGGATGCATACTAATACGACAATCATTATCTTTTATATATTGTCCCATATTACGTAAAGTTAATGAAAAATGTTTTATCCAATCAGTTGTACATATTGAATGACTAGCAAATGGTACAGTTTGAGATGAAATACGAAAAAAATAGAAACCATGTTGAATATTATATTCGAGAATTTTTTGAAGGCATGTTAAATTTTGTTTTGTTACTTCAAGACATTTTTCATCGGTATAATTAGCTAAACGAAATATATGACTTGGTGTACAAAGACTTGTATTTAAACATGGATAACCAATTTTCATGCCAGTAGAACGAAGAAGTTGTGCAGCATGTTTTAATATTGAAAGTTTTTCTTCACATGGTTCTTGTTTTTCAATTTTAATCGGACTTTTTTTTGTTACAGCTTCAACTAAAACTTTAGCCATTCGTTGACTACGACGACGTACTTCCATTTTATTGTTCTAAAAACACAATCCGCAAAATACGGAATTTCATAATATTATGAGAGATTCAATTTTTAGAAAAAAAAATTAATTTTATTTTAATTTCCATTAAATCTAAATATCTATTATTCATTAAGATTGTAAATAAAAACACAACATTGTCAATACAAATCTGACGAGAAAAACAAAAACAAAAGGAAATATAATAATTAGTAATAATGCATTCTCTCTTAAGTATATATATATATCAGAAAAACAAAATTATAAAATAGTACATGAACAACAATGACTAGTATTTTTTTGTTTTGATAATAATAAATTTGTATTATATTGACATTTATTTTTTCTTATTAATCGTACTAGTTCAATAAATATCTCATCAATATTATGACGTGTTCGAGCTGATGTTTCAAAATATGGAATATGCATATTAGTAGCTGCAGCATGTACATGTGTATCCATACCATTTTGACGTATATCTAATTTATTTCCAATTAATAATATAGGAACATTATCTGTTTCTTTAATACGTAATATATCACGATGTAATTTATAACATTCTTCAAGTGAACGACGATCAGTTAATGAAAAAACAAGTAAAAAACCTTCACCAACACGTACATATTGATCACGCATAGGTTTAAATTCTTCTTGGCCAGCTGAATCAAGAATTTCTAATTGAGCAATTTGATTATCAATTAAACATTGTTTTACATAAGAATCTTCAATTGTTGGATCATAATCCGAGAAAAAAAATGATTTGACAAATTGAATAGTTATTGCTGACTAAAAACAAAAAAAAGATAATTAATCAAATATGATGATAACGAACAGCTGTATGCTTGTTTTCAATTATTATACTCAGAAAAGTTCAATCCTGTCAAATAGAAAATGGCATATACACAGCATGTTATAGAAATTATTGATTATATCATGTATATATTGATACAATAATAACCTCAAACATTAAATTTGATTCGAGTATCTATCTTTGTTTTTCTATTTGGTATATATAATAGCAAAGATACTTGTCGATCGTAATAGAAATCTAATAGTAATTTGATCTTTGCTTTCTTAAGTAATCGAAATATTATGATATTCTTTACATCGAATGTTTGTATAATCATAGGAAAAAAAACGATTCTTACTTTGCCAACTCCACCGCTTCCTAATACAATAATTTTGTATGTTGGTTTATCTTTGAATTTTTTCATTGATGTAGTTGAATGATTATTTGTTGAAGCTGTTTTATGCTTTCGTGGCATCTGTCTTTTACTTCTTTCTAAACAAAACAAATGAATAATTCTATTATACATATACACACGAACAAAAAAAGAAAAAAAGAAAAGAAAAGGAAGAACAACTGTCAACCAATATATTATGTATATAGAGTGATCAAAATTGATTTGCTTCTTAATATATCTAGTACTACTACTACTCGTTCAATTACCTTGACTATTGATATGTACTATATATATATATGTATGTATGGACGGATGTATGTGTATATTACTGCTAAGATTGAAGTGATGGTTGTTGGCAGATATGTCTCTATGGCCTTGTCATCATCATCATCATCATCGTAACTTCACCGTCGGTCTCCGATGATTTATGAGAGAACAGATGCCAATGACTATTCATCGAGTGAGAGAAAAAAGATCAAACATCGATATCTGTAATAGAAGAAAGAAGAGAGGAATGTATATGATTCGAGAGTACTCTATGGAAATACATATGGGACAGGTAAAAGATGATGAAAATGAAGAAATATGACACAAATGTTCTATATTTTCTCTGTCTATCACATTTCATTCGACATAATATACTAGAAGAGAGTTATGTGTACTATATATATATATACATAGCTTCTGTTCTTATTTAGATAAATGTAAAACGATCAGTTATCATTGTTGGATAATGATGAAAGTTTGATTGTTGTTCAATTACTTTCAAGATACTTGAATTTCATTCTCGATGTTATTCAATAATATATGAGAGAGCAAAACGAAGATTTGTAACAACTGTTACAAATTGTACTTACTATATAAGTACGAAAAAAAATCACTTATGACTATATTAAACTGGTTAATTGATTCAACCAAGCAAATTGAATAGTATACGTATACACATGTATATAAAATGAATGAATTTGAATGTTTGTTCAACGATGCAACATATAACAACAAGAAAGAAACTAAAAAAAAAACGAAGAAATTCTTTTTTTTTTTCTCAACATTATTGATTACACAATACTCTCTTGTATTTATTCCCTGTCTCTCATGTACATATATAGGCGTTGTCAGTCTATTTATTTGCACATTTCTTGTCGTAATCAAGTTAATTAGGTGGTAAAGTATGATCTTTATAATACAACAGTACATACTACACTCTTTACAATTTATACAGGCCAAATGTCAATATCTAATCCGCCAAGCGATTTGTCATCTTTTTTCTTTAGCACGATCGACTGATCGATCGATTTTTATGTCTATTCTTTTTACAATTACTATACATAAGGAGGCGCATGTATATATACACTCTCTATCAAGAATAGTCGTAAATCATCATATAGTTATTGATTTCCAACGACTCTTTTATCAGTATATAGAATAAATAATAAGATAGAGGACATATCCATGAAACATTTATTATGTATATATAACTTGACAGTCATAAAGTAACGGGAGACGATGAATAACCTTCGAGTTCTTTACTTATAGGACAAGAACAAAGGATCATTTAAAAATATAACATGGAGAAAAGTAGTTATTAATCTATATTTTATAGATAATTAATAATCTTTTGTTTAAAATAAAAATAAACAAAGATTGATAAAAATACGATTAATCAATAGAGTAATATCGTTATCTTTTCTATTATACATTTAGTTGTTGATTGAATTAATAGAAGTATTATTAGTAATGATATAAGAGGAGAGAAATTAATTTTTAATATACCTTTCTTGATGATGATGATCATTGTCTAAAACACATTCATTATATTGTTTGGATAAGTTTAATAATCATTTTTAATTGGTAAAAGGTAGACATTCGTCAAGATAACGATATTCTATACATACTAACATCAACTTCAATGTCAGTAGATGCTTTAACTCATGAATAGTCAAACTAGTATGGGGGCAAATGATTTTTCTTGATGAGAGATGGATGAAAAGTGAGGGTGAAAGGTATTTCGCAGTTGTGACTTTCGCTCAACGGACATTATATCGTAAAACTCGATGGGCATAAAAATGAGATAAAGTCTGTAACAACGACCAATTTATTTACAATACAAACTTAGATTAATTTTCGTACATAGCAATTCACTTGTGTGTAATATTCAACAAACGAAATTATCTTCATATTATTTTTGTTCAATCTATAACAATGAAAAACAAAATGGTATATTTCATAATGAATGGTCTTTTGTTTAATCATTTGTTAAACTTTATCGATATAATTTATATTTGGAAAAAAAATGTTCAACATCTTTTTTATAATAAGGTTTAATAGCAATAGCTGTTGCGATATTTTCCGGTTGTTCATTCCATAAATAATGTTCAATGGAATTTTCTTTAAGCATATTACTTATTTCATTTAATTCAGTTTCACCTCCATCAATACCGAGAATTATCTTATGCATACGATCTAAATCGTTAAAATAAGATTTTGTTATATCATCATTGATTGTTTTATATAGAATTGCAGTTGATGCATGACATGCTTGGGCAATAATAGCACCGTCATTATAATTTTTCATTTTCTTTAAATCACGTCGTAATAAAATATATTGAACGATTGGATTTATTGATGTTGCCATTATTTTCATATAACTAAAGAGAAAAATACTATTCAAAACCTGTTGGTTGTTTTATTTTATTCGAAAAGATATTGTATATCTATTTTTATTCATAGAAAATAGATAATCACAGTAATTAAATACATAAAAATTTTAAAGTTCAATATTTTTATTTAATTCCATTGCATTTATATTTGATAAATGTAACCATTCATTTGGAAAGAAAACATTACGATTACTATGATGTTTAACAAGAAGTTCATTACGAAAATAAGCAATTGTTTTATTAAGACCATCACTAAGTAAAACCTAAAAAATAATTATTTATTTATATTTTCAATAAAAAATAAAATTTACTTTTGGTTCCCAGTTAAGCCATGATTTTGCTAAAGTTATATCAGGTCGTCGTTGTTTCGGATCATCAATAACAGGATCCTTGTAAACAATTGAAGCTTGTGATCCTAAAAAGAATAGTGAGAGTTTACGGATATATCCCATTTCTTGATTTAGAAGCGGAAAAATAAAATTCGATCAGAAATAACTTCGTCATTGATTGATTTTTCTACTTTTTATTTTGAAAATAAGAATGTGATCTAACTTACCAACAAGTTCTTTTATTTTAGTAGCAAATTGTTCAATTGTATATTCATCGGGATTACCTAAATTCATTGGCATTGAATAATTACTATTCATTAAAGCAATAAGACCATCAACAAGATCACTAACATATTGAAATGAACGTGTTTGTTTACCAGTACCATAAATCTATAAAAGAATATCTTCAATTGAATTCATAAAATACAACTATTACTGTTATAGGTTCATTTTGAAGTGCTTGTAAAACAAAATTACTAACAACACGTCCATCATTCATATGCATTCGTGGACCATATGTATTAAATATTCGAGCTATACGAATACTAATACCTTCCTTTAAAAATCAAAATTACAAATCTTATTGTTCATTTAAAAATATTTATGTCACCTGTTGAGCATAAGCATAACACATTGCTTCAGCAACACGTTTCGATTCATCATAACATGATCGTGGTCCGAAAGGATTAACATTACCAAAATAAGTTTCTTTTTGTGGGTGAACTTCTGGGTCACCATATACTTCACTTGTGGAAGCAAATAATAATCGAGCACGAACACGACGTGCCAAACCTTAGTAAAAAATAAGTATTTCTAATAAATTGTTTTCCCTAATTACCGAGCATATTAATAGTTCCAATTGAATTAACTTTAATAGTTTTAACCGGATTATACATATAATGTGGTGGTGATGCAGGTGATGCTAAATGATAAATTTGATCAACTAGAAAGAAAAAATCGTTTTTTTGATAAATTTTATTATAAGAATTTACCTTCAATATAAAGTGGATTAACAATATCATGATTAATTAATTCAAAATTTTCATGTCCAATCCAATGTTCAATATTACGTTTACGACCAGTAAAAAAATTATCAGCTACAATTACTTCATGCCCTGCAAGCATTAGACGATCAACAAGATGTGAACCAACAAAACTATTTTTGATAACAAAATTATTCTAGTTTTTCACAATGAAAATATTTATATAAATACCCAGCTCCACCAGTAACCTGATAGAAAAAAAGATAATCATATAAAAATTTCAAATTAAATACTTACAAGAATACGTTTACGATCTTTATAAGTTAGAAATGTTACTTCAGGATATTGTTGTTGTCTAAGAATAGAGAGTAAATTAGTATTTTTGCTTTTTATTTCAATTTAATTACCGAGCTTCTAAATCTTGTATTCGTTTTTCTAATGCTAATATTTTATCATCTTGACAATAAATTATTTGAGAAGTACTATATCAATAAAAATAAACATTGAATGTTTAATTATAAGAATAAGAGATTTCTTACTATACAATAATTAAAATTAACACAAACAATGAAATCTTATCTAAATGATTAGAATTCATAATAGTTTGACATATAAAAATATATATTTACTGTTTTTTGTATGGAACATTATGAATTTCGATATCAAGTCAATAAAAGCAAGATTAAATGAAATATACAATTAGTTTATATAGTAATCATAAAGAAGTCAATATTATCATCAGAATACAATGCCAATGTATTTTCTATTTCTATTGGTTAGATTGTCTAAGCAATCATTTTTTTCTCGACTGTTACAGATAAATAATATTTTCATTAATAAATGAATATTCATTTCTATATGTAAGATTATTAACATATTTTCAATTGAAATAGAAATAATTTCATTAGTTGAAATAACAAATAAAACGAAAATGTCAATAGTTATGCTAATTGATATTACATATGTTTTTCCTATATCATTAATTACGGTAGTATATTCATATAGAGATATTAAATCTGTTGGTAAAACAAAATATTTTATTCCTTATTAGGTTTTTTCTAAATGAATAATTTCGATGGTATCAGCTGGGTTCTGAATTGTACAGAATTTGTTGATCGGAAACATCTATTAATAGACTTCATGATATACTTTGCAATCGATGTTGTGTCCACAGTTGATAGCCAGTTTTCTAGTAATATCTTTTTGCTTGAATATATTGTTATATCAGGTCTTTTATTTCAACTGAGAACGATTTATTTACAGGTAGGAGCGATACATGAAAACAAAGAAAAAGTGATTACTAAGACATATGCAAGATAGTACGAACAAATATATATATATATATATATATAGAATACGCAAGATTATAATACTAATTCATTTGAACAACTACATAAATCTGATTTATTGTTTTATCTGATTGTACTTAGATCGAATAAAATTTAAAAAAACAATTGAAGATATTTTTCACATTAATTGTGTTTGTGATCCATCAAAATTAATTCGTAGTTAAAACAAACTATGTCATATTTTCTCATATGAGATCCAATACATTAAAATTTAGTTTAAATTACTATTTTTTCAAAACATCAGTAATATAAATATGTCCATAGTTGAATAGAGTCCGAATATTAGTCGTAAGATTTAAAATTTATTTCAAACTGATGCTTTTCAAGAATGTATCATGGAGAAATCGCTTTCAATAACAAGAGGTGGGTGTGAGTGAAGAGGGGAGAGGTAACCCACATCTACACCCTCAATTTTGCATTTTTAAAATGATTGAAAACGTTGAAATCCGATTCTTTTGATTAATATCCAGTAGCTAGTATAAATACTTTTTTTTCTTGAAAATCAACAAGGAAGGATTTAATTACAGTAACATTAATATAGAGAAGCAAGCACGTTTATGATATTTTCTTTTTTTATTGTCAATACGATGAATTCTAACAGCAAATAGTAATAGAAAAATGATACATAAACTAATATTCCTTATAGCTTGACGACAAAAAAAGGAATATTTACAGTAGGTTTACATCCTAAAAGGTTCATAAAAAAATTGTTTCCATTTAGATTTACGATTATAATGATCATGCTAAAATATATCTTACTATTTTCCTTATTGACAATGACTAATGAATATTTTCATTTATATAATAGTGAGGTATCTGATAATGATGATTACAAAAATTGCTTATATTCATTGAGAATAAACACTGATACTAATGAATGGCAATTAGTACCTTACTGTATTCGTCACAATACAAGCAAACTGAACGACACAAATGATCAATGTTATGATGATCCTATACATACGTTTGAGCAGTTAAAACTAAAGAAAATTGACAATTATGATTTATACAGATGGAATGCACCTATCGATACGATCAATAATTATCAGAAATATATTGTGACAAACGATTTATCACTGGCTAATCATCATTATTGTAACTGTTCAGGTAAGGGAATAATACTCGTTATTTCGTCTATTAATATGAAACAAATTATATTTAGCAAATTGGTTTGGTTCTCGATGTCAATATTCGTTCAACTATTCATCTGAAAATCCCGAATTGAATAAAATAATTGATGGACAATTTCTTATTAAATATCCGTTAAGTGAAGACTATACGATTACTGATGATATTTCAATGTTAACATGTTATGTAGGTCTTCAGTGTCATTCAACTATTTGTCTCGATTGGCGAGAGATCTGTGATGGTATTTTAAATTGTGAGAATGGTGAAGATGAACCTGATGAGTGTTTATTACTTGAAACAAATGAATGTGAAGATAATGAATATCGTTGTCGATATGGTATGTGTATTCCAAAAACATTTCTTCGTGATTTTAGTCATGATTGTATGGATCTAAGTGATGAGAAACCAATATCTAATTCACTAAGACAATATTATTCTTCTTGTTACAGTTCATCAAAAGTTGAATGTGATTTTCATCTCTGTAAAATAAATGAATATTCATGTGGTGATGGACAGTGTTTATTGTTTGAAAATTTCGCTCGTCTTTGCTCGATTTTTGAAGATTGTCTAAGTCAATGCAATAATGGGCGTGATCTATTTTTTCGTCGGAATCTTTTCCATTTTGATATTTCCATTGGTATTAACAATTCAAATAATATCAGTTTTGAATGTCAATTTTTAATGTTATGTATTTCTGGAGAATTAAATGTAAAATTCTTTGGATATGACTATACCAAATGTTCATGCTTTAATTCGAATAAAGAAGAAAAACGATGTTTAAAATATTTTCGAGATTATTGTCCGACATTATTTATTGGTCAAACTTCTATTAATATTCTCTATCCATTCGGTAAATTGATTTATATTAATAATCCGAATTCTTCTGTCAAGTGGTACTTACCAACTTATCTCTGTCATAAATCAAATCGTTGTCCTGCTTTATCAAATATAAGTTTTCCACTGTTCAATAATTTATCGTGTTTAGATTTACACAAATTTCCAGATTGGATTGATGAACCATCGAAAGTATTGATGCGATTTTCTGCCTGTGGTATTACTTATAATCCAATATTAACAACCGACAAACGATTATTCTATTGCACAAAATCGATGAAAATTATTTCGAAACATAAATTTCTCGATAATTCGCCTGACTGTATTGATGATGAAGATGAGAGATACATATCTAACACTACCACGATGGGCGTTGCCAATGCTAATATAATAGATCGTTTCAAATGTTGGTCCAGCAGAAATCGCTGGGTGCCACGTTGGTTGTTGGACCTCAAACTTTGTTTGCTTGATGATGATGTTGTATTATACGATGATATGTGTATAGCAGCGTCTGACATTGGTTGTGGGTTTCTTCGAGGTCTTAATTCATCACCTCTTCTGCTTCCATATCAGGAGAACTGTAATGATATGTTAATATTATTTTCTCCAAATAATGAAGTAGATGAAACAGATGAAACAAATTGTGAGGAATGGCCAAAATATCGATCATGCGATGGTTATTGGGATTTGAAAAATGGAGAAGATGAATTAAATTGTTCAAATACAACTACTTCCTACATCACACGAACAATTTTAAAATGTCATGAGAATGAACATTATTGTATACATCAAAATGGAACAATGGGCTGTATATCAAAAAAATATGCAGGAGATTATATAGATCATTGTTTGGGAGGAACAGATGAAAAGCCAACAACATGTTTTTATACAGATGCTCAAAAACCTTTTCGATGTTCAGTAAATGGTGAATGTATATCGTTATCTTCTATCTGTGATGGGGAGTTTCAATGTTCTAATGGTCAAGATGAGATGGTTTGTCCATGGTCACACAACAGGACTGAAGAGCAATTATATATGTTTATCTGTAAAAATGGAACCGGTATTTTACGTAAAAAGCAGTGTGATGGAATCATTGACTGTCAACCAGACGCCGAAGATGAGTGGCTTTGTGATCTCGCATACCAGAAAATAAAAGATTATTTCCATTTTATTGAAGAATATCCTCGTCTTCTTCGCATTGATTCACCACATCAAATAATTAAGAGTACTTCTCATCAATCTATACAATTAGCATCAGATGATTTCTGGTGGCCGTTAAATGATTTGCGTCTGGATTGGTATTGTAATCGAGGTCTAATCGTTACAACGAGGTCTTCTAATATCGAATGTTTATGTCCACCTAGCTACTATGGTAAAAGATGTGAATACCAATCAGAACGTATATTAATTACTCTACGGATTGATACGCCAGCTAATTATAGTAGACATCAAAGTCAACAAAATGTTATTCGATTACTTGCTCGTTTGATGATTGATAACAGAGTTGTTCATCATGAAGATATTTTCCATATGCGATCGATGAAGCAACTATTTTGTTTGAATTATCCTCGACCACCACCAAAGCAGCGAGGAAACTGGTCTGTTCGTTTTGATGCATTTTCCGTGAACAAGTTCAGTGTTACTTTCATAGCTTCTTGGTTATTTGATGTATCCTTCTCCTTCCTTCCTTTTAATCGTCTTATCTTACATTTAACTCTTGAAGAACACAAAGTCTGTACTACATTCCCGTGTGTGCATGGTAATTGTAGAAAATATTTGAATTTTCCACATTACCAGTATTGCTTATGTGATGAAAATTGGTCTGGTCAATACTGCAATATTTCTACTCCCTTCCCGTATGCTGCAGGTGGAAAGTGCTTTGATGGATATCGAACACCGATTTGTGTTTGTCCTCTCAGTCGTATGGGACACGATTGCCATGCATTATTCGATCCATGTAATAATATTCAGTGTCAAAATGGTGGTACGTGTATTCCATTGGATAGTCGACTATTTATCAAATATATTTGTGCATGTCGTAATCGTTATTATGGAATTCATTGCGAATTCATCAGTGCTCAAGTCGATATTTCCTTTTCCAAAAGTCTTTTAGATTACAATCACTTATTATCAACTACTGTATTTGCTCATTTTCTAAGTACAAATAATCATACTCCTGGTATATTATCTGTAGAAAATCGTCTCCTTTACAAACAAGTGAAATTGAATGAACGACTTCATATTTTCAACGAGAATCATGAATATATTTCTCAATTTGTTCTCCTGCAAATATTTTTTAAACCTAATCACTTCAGATATTATATTGCAACGATCATCAAAAACCGTGTAAAATATATCATTACAACAATTCATAAGACAAATCAATGTCCTTATGTGGATGAAGTGCTTCGAAATAGAACGATCCGCCAATTCCCTTCAATGAAAAAGATCAAATATTATTACCATGTCTGCAAAGAAAACAATGTCCTTAAATGTTTCTATGATGAAGCTTATTTATGTTTCTGTGATAAAGATCGTCAACCTCAATGTTTCATATTTCAACAAATATCTGAACAATGTACAACAAATTATTGTCATAATAATGGTCAATGTGTGAAGAATTCTTTTGATGGAGTATGGGATTTTGCTTGTGTTTGTGGTGGATGTGCGTATGGTTCACTCTGTCAGCTGACAACATCTCAGTATGCACTTTCATTAGATCCCATGCTTGGTCTGGATATTCTTGCAAATATATCATTGACAAATCAACCGTTTCTAATTAAATTAATACTAATAATTATTATTCTAATTCTTTCACTGGGACTATTATCTAATGCACTATCATTAATTACTTTCAAGCAACCCAAAGTGCAAGAAATTGGCTGTGGTTTATATCTTTTTTGTCTACCTATTATTAGCCAGTTGGGGTTGTTCGTATTAACTGGTCGATTTTTCTATTTTCTGTGTACACAACTGTACACTGTGAATAAGAATTCCTATGTCCTCTGGAGCTGTATTGCTCTAGAGTATTTCTTAAATGTTTTTCCGATGCTTTTCGATTGGTTAACGGCATGTGTAGCTATCGAACGTAGCATTAATATAATCAAGGGTGTTTACTTTAAAAAATCTGAGAGCGTCTGGTGGGCTAAACGTATTATTCTTTTTCTTATAATTATTGTTCTGATTAGTTCATGGCATGAACCATTCATTCATGAGTTGATCGATGATCCACGAGCTACAACTCGACATACATGGTGTATAGTTAAATTTCGTTGGAGATGGCTAGAATATTACAGACTAACGATCAATTTGATCAATTTGATCATTCCTGGTTTAATCAATCTGATCGCTACATGCTTTCTTTTACACAAGTCAACGAAAATGAAACAGACGTTTGGTAAAAATAAGAAAGAGAAAACTTATTTCTTTGCTATGAAGAAACAACTTCTTCTGTATGGTAGTCCTATTACATTGGTTATCTTTAGTTTAATTCGACTGATCTTCTCATTCACACTAGTGTGTATTATCTATTCGTGGCAAAAATATCTCTATATGACTGCTTACTTTATTTCATTTTTTCCACTGATAGGTATTTTTCCGATATTTGTATTGCCATCTCGACTCTATAGAACTGAGTTTAAGAAAGTTTTTGATCGGATGCGTCGCAATTTGAGGGCTAGACGCATTTAAAAAATTCTTTGATTAATCGATTAATTTTATCTCGTAAAGACAAGTAACACACTAATCTTCGCTTATTTCACTTCTGAAAATAAAGCTTTTATTGAGCTGGCATTGTATCATTATATGTGGGTGTATTGCGGGTATGTCTAAAGAAGACATACTCACCTGTCCAGGCTAAAATCCATGTAATGGAAATATCTGCATGCACTCCACTTAAATAGTGATAGTATTTGGAAAGAACAATTCACATACAAAAATGTAGCCTGGACAAAGGGCTATCAGAATAATTATAAACCGTTCTTCATCTCTAGTTATTTTCTTCAAATAGATGCCTAGTTGAATAATAGTGTCAACAACCAGTTTAGTTATTCTCTAAGGTGTAAGGATAACCCCTGCTCATATTTCTAGTCTCATGAAAGTACCTCAAATTTAGCATCAGAAGGATCAAGAAGTCATGCTCTTTCATTATATGTATGATTCGAATAGATTTTGTATGGAAAAATCAAAATGAGCCACAATACGGTCTTATACGCCCCTGCTCTTTGCTCGAACGATCGTCCGTGCACTTCTTAAAGAACAATCGATTTTTGTTTCCTGTTGTTTTTTTTCAATAGATTTAAAAAATTATTATCGATTATTATTCTATTCAATTTGTTCTCTATTTTTCTAACTTGTTTTGACTTAATACATTATATTTAGTTGTTATAATTTATTAGAGATATATTAGAAATGGATAAAGTTATATAAAAAAAGAAACTTTTTAGTTGAGAATAAAATTAATAATTGAAAACGGCTGCTAATTGTTCTTGTGTAAATTGTTGACCAAATACAACTTCTTCCGACATATGTTCAACTACTCGTTCGAATTCAGCTTTTCTCTAAATGAATATTAAGATAAAAACAAACATAAAATATCCCAAAAAATATCAAAGCTGAGAAAATATTTCTATCATGCATCATGCAGAACTAATCATTATTTTTCTATCCTTCTCATTTTAATAATAGTGTGATTTAATATGAGTATTTTCAGAAAATAAATGTAAAAATGCTTCGACTATCTGAATGAATAAAAAATTATATGATAGAGTAGTTAGTTGTATATTTCTACGTATACTTACTCTTGCATTCGCAAATACTTGACCAAAACACGAAAGAAGTAAAGGATCTTCTTTTACAGATTGTGAAAAATCATTATCACCCAAACGATTATCATGATCTTTATCCATTTTTTTCAATGTTATCTCTACTAATTCTTTAATACTTTCATCTAAATCTTCATCACCAGCTTGCTAGAAAATAAAAAATATTCCATATAGATTTATTATCTTTAAAATCATAATCTTTACATACTTTAAGAACACTACTTTTAAGTAGTTGAAAAATTTCTTCACGGGTTATATGTTTTTCACCTTTAAGTGAATAACAATTGAAAGCAACTGAAAGCATTTCAAAATATAATAATAAATATAGAATTTCTTGTACGAAATAACTTACAAGCAATTTTTTCGTCCAATGTTCCGCGTAAATATGTGTTAAGTCCAACAACCCATTCAAGCATACTGACTTGTCCATCATTATCACGATCAAATGCTTTGAAAACTATTTCAAGAAATAAAACTAAATAAATAAGCTTCTTAATTAAATTACCTCGATCCATTAAAATGTCATCGGTCATATCGAATGTATTATGTAAAACATCACGAAAACGTGGTCGATCAATTCTATCTAAATAAATTTATTTATTTAGAAAAATAATTTCTCATCTTATATTTTGCCTTTATTACCGCTTTTTGTCAAATGACGAAATATTGTACAAAGTGATTCAATTTCTTGTTTTGAAACTGAATAAAAAAACAAAATGTCGACTAATTTTTACATAATAGTAGATACATACAATGAAATTTATCTTTTCTCTTGGCTACTTCATCTTGAACATGTTGAATAGCTTTTCGTGATACAGGTTGACCTTTACCATGACTGATACTTTCTAATTTCTGAATATTTAGAAAAATAAATGATGTAAATATGTTTATATTAAATATAAAATAGGAAAAAGATGTTACCCATGTATGACGGCTATGAACTTTTCGGGTGCCTGATGTTTCAATATTTTGGGCTGATGATCGACCTGTTTTACTTTTTGATGACGACATCTAGTTTATATGTAAAAACAAGTCTTGTGTTTCTTTATTGTTTTGACTGTATGAAAACGACATACTTGTATTTGCCATTATAACCTGTAGCTGCTTAGCAACATCCATTATAATAAATTAAATTATTTATAAAATTAAATATAAAATGACATTGTGAAAAATCTTTGTTTATCCTTTTAATTATTTAATAGATATTTAAAATATTTTATGAAACATCTGAATAAATTTATAGAGTGCGCTGTTTTTATAATGTATAAAATCTCTTTGATCTAGAAGTATTAGTTATAAATGAAAGCATAAAATATATTAGAAATCAATTGATTTTATATTAAACGAACGTCTATTATACATTCAGAAAATATCAAAATACAAGCAAGTTGTAAATGTGAATCAATTTAGAAGGGTCTCTATTGTATGTTTCGTATGAATATCTTTGTATTAATGACGTAGAATACTTTTTCATTGTAATACTTATAATAGCTATTGATAGCAGTTTATGCTACAATGTTTTTAATTCATATGTATCCGTAGTACTTTTTTCATCTCGTACGAAAAATGAATTTATGATTAAATTTAACCTTGAAACTTGTTGTAAATCGTAATAGTAAAACTAATGTATTCATTGCATAAATTCAAATGTACGAAAAAGAACGTGTGTGATAATCAATGATGAATTCATCTATGTTGTAATGCATAAAATTATTCATCGATTTAAAAGAATAAGACTTTTTGATATTTACATAATCACTGATAAGAAAAGAAACCTAATTTATGATGGTATATTGAATTATGTCTTTAAATATTACTCATGTATCAATTTCAAGCATGTTTTTCTCAACTCATATCATTTCGTTTCAATAAAACTAAGTCAAAGTATATATCCTTTACGATGATGATGTAATTGTTATATAACGCCATCTGTCGTATTTACGTTATTGAAAATAATTTTTATTAATAATATTAATAAACCGTAGAATAGGTTTTTTTCATATATATTTATTGATATACTGTAAATAATACCATAAAATTGTGAACAACAAAAAAAAAGTGTCATCTATGTGCCATATTGTCTTATTTGTCTCGAAATATTTTAGTATGACTTACCGTTACTGTTATAGACATTAATAAAATCATTCAAAAACCTAATATGAAGTCATTTAAATATCATTTGCATATTAATAAATGTTAAATCTAATATTTTTGCTTTAAAAAATCATTTATTATTCTATACTCTCTTACAGATCAATTATTTACTGAAATTTATGTCAATCTTTCAAAACAATGATTCATTATTATTGTAGAATTTTCAGTCGTATTATTCAATTAAAACAGATTCTAATTTCTTTATTTTCTTTTAGATTGATTTTTAATCTATCATGGCATCGAAAATTCTTAAAGCGGTATGTATATTTATCTTAAAAACAAAATTAATTCAATATCTATTCTTTTTAGACTACAAATCTAACTGGAATGGCTGTTTCGAAAGATCCACATTATGTATATAGATAATAAAATTCAATTTTCTATGATAAATTCTTACGTTATTATAGGCATTAAAACTTCTTTATGGAAAAATTTTACGAGATCTTAAGAAAATACCAGCTACCGCAACATATAGAAAATATACTGAAGATATTATTAATACACGTCTTGGACATGTCGAAAGTGTATGTTGTTATCATTAAACGAAAAAAGATTATCTATCAAAAATTCTATTATCTAAATCTAGGAAACAAATATCGCTCGTCTTGAACGTAAAATAAATTGTGGTCAAATTGAAGAAGTTATTGTACAAGTAAGAATTATCTTTTCAAATAATATTTTAAGTAAATATTTTTCTTAGGCGGAAAATGAATTAATGTGTGTACGTCGAATGGCTATGAATAATGTTTGGGAACCACTTGCTAGTCAAGCACCACCAAATCAATGGAAATGGCCTATTGCTTAAAAAATAAAACGAACTATTTATGTTTTCTTTTCTTTCTATAGCATAGACCATCTCTTTTTGATAACATATATCCTTTATGATGTATTTCCTTTCTTGTTTTTTAGATATGTATTATATTTTTATTAGAAAAAACTAATTTGTTCACAATTCTCATGTATGTCGGATTCGTCTAAAACAGTTGATAGTGATGATGAATCACTTGATCCTCGAATACAAGTATTAGAAAAATCGAATTATTTATTAATAATTTTTTGAATATTATTAGATCGAATTAGAACGTGCTAATGCTGCAACGAGTGAAATAAATAATTTAGAAACTCAATTAGACGTATGATATTTCATTTGTATATTCCACGATTTTCTTTTTGTTTTGTTAAGAATGCTCAAAAATTATTTCAACTAAGTTTTACTAATTGTAAACAACGTTTGGCTAATTATGCACAAACATTAGGTCGTTGTGTTGAACGTGCACGACCATATTATAATGCTTGTAAACAAGCTGAAGAGGTTTATTCTTGAAAAAGCAAAATGTTTTTTTTATCGAATTATTTTTTAGGCTCAAATAGAAACACAAAAAGCTGCTCAAGAATATCAAAATTCTGTTGAATTGTATTATACAGCTAAAGAAAATTTAACTCTTGCTGGAAGTAAACTACCAGAAGAAGATAATATTACAAGACAAGAATATATTAATCATATAACTATAAAAGTAATATAACAATACACTTCAATACATATTTTTTTTCTTATCGTATTAGGTAACGCAAACTGAACAAGATAAAATTCATTGTGAGCAAATACATGAAGAAAAATCTAAACGTTATCAAGAATATGAACAGCAGAGACTATCACTTTCGCGTTCATTAACAAGAACAATTATGAAGTCAAAGTATGAAGAGAATCGAGATTAGATCGAATTTTATTTTAATATTTATTTTAGACCTTATTTTGATGCTAAACTTAAAGCGGAGAATGAACTTAAAGTAAGAGATAAAATATTAGAAAATTAAATTAAAAAATTTTTTATTGAATATTTAGAATCAAAAACTTCGTATTGAAGATGTACAAAAAGCAATAAGCCAAGCGAAAAAAACATATCGTGCAGCATTAAATAATCTTGAACAAATATCAGAAGAAGTTAGAAATAATAATCAATTAATTCCTATACTAAATCTCATCTTATTTAGATTCATATGAAACGTAAAAATCAAATTTCAATAAAACTTCCACCACGTGAACCCGGTGTTGGCGCTGAACATCCTGATGAATTTATTGAATTACCAAATTTCGGTAATTTACAAAACAAAATTTTTAAATTAACTTTTATTATTTTCTTAAGAATTAACTGAATTTCCTAAAACTGATCTTTCTGATGAATCATCCGATAATGAAGCAAGTACGAATTGCATGCATACATCATCTAATATTGATATATCTAAAACTCTTTCACCTATAACAACTAATAAATCTAAAACTCATCTTAGTACACAAACAATTGCATGTAGTAATACTAAACATGACCAACGACGTCAAAAAATTGGTAAAATAAAACCAACACGAATGATTATGAATAATGAAACACCATTGCTTTCACATCTTTGTGGCACACATAAATTTCATAGTGATTCAAATTTAAATTTAATAACAAAACAATAATTTATTGCTTTAAGCGCTTTCCTTTGCCCCTATTTTTGTTTTCTCGTAATTCTGTTATAGTATGATGATTAACTATAACATAACTTTCCTTTTTGTTCGTCATATTTGTTTATTTTTGTCAATAATTTATAATTGATCTGACTAAACCAAGCAATAAAGTTCTCTTTATTTGTACTTTAGATATATTATTTATGAAATCATTGGCATGTATTAAATTCGATCTCTAGATTCAATTAAAATGGTTTGTTAGAAAAAGAACATCCGATTGCTATTAAAGTATGCGAATTTTTATAATTCCATCACGTATAGTTTTTTTTCCATATATCAAACAAGATTAAAAATATGTGTTATTCTAAAAGTGATTATGTCCAAGGTTCTTCTGAAGTAGCTTCATAATAAACAATACTGTTTTAAAGTATTGGATTTAAGCTTAACATAGATTTGTAAGTATTTTAAAGACTTCGCAGTAATAGATGTACGTGATATTATCTCATGACTTATTGAATAAATACAAATTTATGTTGAGATCCATTCCCGATACTTCAAAGCACTTCTTTTGTTTCTTGACAAATACTCTACTACTGATGCAACTATTGGCACAATATTTCTTCTTTATTCATCGTGAAATATAATAAAACGATTTTTCTATTATTTTAACGTAGGTCCTATCATTTACCCATGTAAAAAATATTGGCGTAAAAATCAACTGAAAAATCGATTTTTGACATTTTTAACCGATTCTAATTGGATATAGCCGAGAAAAACTCAACTTTTCTTGATTATTATGATAAACTACAATTAAAATCGATTAAGAATTCACAAAAAAATTGGTTATAATTGATTTCTGCCAATGACAAATGAAAAAATATAGTTCGGTTTTCATCGATTACAATCAATTTTGTTTGTGAATTCTTAATCGATTTTAATTGTAGTTTATCATAATAATCCAGAAAAGTTGAGTTTTTCTCGGTTATATCTGATTAGAACCGGTTAAAAATGTCAAATCAAATTTTAACCGATGATAATCTGATTTTTCTTTAAATATTTTTACATGGGTTAAACAATGATCTATTAAATATACTGTAGTGTAGATGAATTTACTTTTTTTTTTTTAATTATATTGTCATGTCACTCAGTATTTTTCTTTCTATTCTTTATCCTTTAGTTTTTATCTTATACGTATATGAATATGCAATCATTATACGAATAATTGGTAATTATTATTTCAACCATGTGCAAAACTATTCATGTTATGATTAGTGATAAAGTAACGGATACGTGCATAAAAGAATAAGATCTATGTTAGATACATTATAGATAAATAAAGAACAATAATAATCACGTATTGTATTTTCATTAGCTTATCGATTATCGAAGAAAACTAGGTTTTATTTTTGAAACGAATTTACAAAAAGATTGATAGTGATTTATGTATTTATTTTTTCTAGATGTTTATTAAAATTATAAAAATCAAATGACAAGCCGTAATTTAACAACAAATTTTTTGGAATTTCGAAATCGTGCTACACGAGATAGAAATTACCATAGTGAAGATAAGGTATATTTTACACTTCGTATAAATACAATATTAGGATAATTATAATCTTGACATAATATATATTATAGGTAGGAAGTATGCATGATGATATCGTAAAGATCTCTCTTAGGAATTCATCGTAATTCAGTTTATCTGAATGAAATAAACATAACAAATTTCTTCAAAATTAATCGTATTATATTTACTTGGACTATTACTCCAACTTTTTAAAAATGATAATAGAGGATGAATTCTTCTAAGGTTTTCTCCAATGGGAACCGGAGCGATGAGCACAAGGATCTGAGTGTGGGTGAGGGCGCTGGCTCGGAAAAGATGACTTTGATAGATTCCTGTATCCATGTCGATTCATATTTGCCTTAACTTTCTTTGTTTTCGTCGATATTATGGACGTAAACACTCATGTGCTCATCGTTCACTGACCCTTCTCCGATGTAGAACTTATTAGATGAATTTTAGTAGTAATATTCAATATGTTTACTGTTGTTTTTTCTATCTAGTCTAATGATGATCGGACAGCACTAATTCAAAATGATGATGAAGAAGTAGTACAATTTGAAAAAAATAACACACCATCATGGTATTTATTTTGTTCCTATATTTGTTATTCATTAATTTTCATCTATTACGTACATTAGGATGGATTCTCAGCGGCGGATACAACTGCAATTTGATCAAGTTCGAAGTCGAAGTAAATTTATACTATAAAATACAAAACACTTCTTTTAATTTTTTTTCTAGTGAAAAAACTACAACAATTACATGATAAACATTTAACAAGACCAGCTTTTGATGAAAACTCGAGTGAAGAAAAAGAAATTGAATCAATTACTAAAGATATTACTGCAGTAAGTTTTTTTCGTATCTTTACCAACAGAAAAAAATTATTATTTAAATTAGATGTTAAATGGATGTCATACATCTGTTCAACAAATTTCAGCACAAGCAAATAAATCTCAAACGAATGCATATGATAAACGTTTGTCTTCTAATGTTGTTCAAGCAACAGCAAGTGCACTACAAGATCTGACTATTAAATTTCGAAAATGTCAATCGACATATCTCCATAGTATAAACATAGAATTTAAATGATTGTAACAAATCTATTGGAATTTTTTATTTAGAATTGAAATCTCGAAAAGATAATTTTAATCGTATTATGCCTGATCTGGAAATCGATATGCATTCCAATCCATTCGGTGATCAAGATGATCCGGATAATAATTTCGATCAGATATCTGTATGAATGAAACAACGAAATTCTTATTCTTATTTTCTTTATTATATTTAGTTAACTTCCGAAGATCAATTACAATTAACATCTCAAAATGTTGAATTTCTTGAAAAACGTGATAAAGAAATTCATGAAGTATTAAAATCAATTGAAGATATAAATGAAATATTTCGTGATGTAGCTGCACTTGTATCAAATCAAGTAAGATTGACATTTATTTTGTATTAATTTTATATACAAAAAAAACAAAATTTCAGGGAACAATTCTCGATCAAATTGAATATAATATCGAAAATACTGTTGTACAACTTGAACAAGGAAATAAACATTTAACTAAAGCAGTTCAACATAAACGGCGTGGATTAAAATTTAAATTAATACTTATCGGTGTTTGTTTATCCGTTTTATTTTTTATAATTTTCGTTGCAAGTATAACCAGATAAAAAAAAATTCTACTATTTTCTTCTGTTTTTTTGTTGATAATCTCATTTTAACAAACAAGGAAAAAAACCGTACACACAATATTTTTGTTTACTCGACTGAACTCTTTTATTTATTGTCATTAAATATCAAACGTTGTTGTTTCGTTTGTGTAATTAATTGTTTTACTTTTTTCCGTCTTTTTTGAAACAAAGGTCTGGTTAATATCTTATATTTATTGTTTGTTTGTTCTTTTAAGATTATTATTATTATTGAAAATGGTTCAAACATATTTTTTCTTTATTATTGGATTAGTTTTACCATCAATTATTCAATGTGATATAACAAATCTCAATGAATTTTTCAGCGCAGTCAATCAAACTTCGAATTATACTGTAGGATATCTATCTCAAGCTAATTTGGATGTTGTCAAACGATATTTACCAGCTAATATTCAGATACAACTGTTTCAAGATAAAAGTCATATGTTAGTGGCTATTGATAATGAAACAATTATTGGTATGTGATATATTAAATCTGATTGTTCAGATAAATAGTTCTGTTTCTCTTATAGCTGGTATAACAACAGGTCAACTTGTTCAAGATCTTCAATCTCGTTATCATGTATTTACTTCATCAATTGTTTCGCCTCAAGCAATGCTTGTTGCGCCTGATTATGATGCAAAATTAGCGCCTTATGGTCTTCGAAATCAATCAAGCAATGATCTATTCAATGCACTTAATGCTGCTATAAATGGTGTGCAAAATGATGGTACGGACGAAACATTAGTAACTCTCAATCAACGACAAGATTTAATTCGAGTTTATACATGTCGCCAATCTACACAAATACCTGTTGTTAATCGTAATGATACAACTGGTTTTTTACAGGATATATTATTTAATACAAAAAAACTTTTAATTGGTGGTATAGGACCAAGTGATTGGGGTACACATGATGGGAATTATAAAGATCGTAATCCAATTGGTTTTTATCCTGAATTGCTTACTAAGATTGTTGAGAAACTTGGTCAGTTAAGTGGACCCGATGGAAATAAGTACGGCGAAGGATTGACTATCGAGAGAACATATTATCAAGATTCAGGCTCACTTTTTTCTGCCTTACTTAATGGAAAAATTCATGCAACAGATGTTTATACACTCGTTGATGTCTCATATACGGGTTCAGGTGAAGACTGTACGAAAGAAAATAGTACTTGTCGAGCAGAAGAAACATGTACGGAAAATATTTGCACTCATGCGCCACGACCACGATCACTCCATTTTCGTACTACTTGTACAACAGCTAGTCGTGATACAAAATTTATTACAAAAAAAGTTAGTTATTAGATTGAATTAAAAAGAAAAAAAACGATTATTTGTAACAGCCGTTATCATTAGAAAGACATTAGTAATTTATATAGATATAATATGTTCTTTTTTATTTTTTAGTTTTTTGGAATAAAATCAATTCAACCTGATGCTCCACGTCAAACACCAAAAACACGATGGATTGGTTTTGTTTTATTATTTGTTACTTTTTTTGCCACTGTATTTCTTGTATTAGTTATACTTCTTCGTCGTAAAAAGAATTATCGTGCTCAACATACATTACAAGGTGGTTTTGGTAAATTTGTTCGTTTACAAGAAGAAAGTGAGCCACCTATGGATGGACTCGATGCATTCGATGATCATATCGTACAATCACCCAGAGACAATACGAACTAAATACATTATATGAATGTGCTTCTGTGGCGCAATTGGTTAGCGCGTTCGGCTGTTAACCGGAAGGCTGGTGGTTCAAGCCCACCCAGGAGCGTACCTTTTTTTTTTACTTTTGCTTTTGAACAGTTTATTTCTTTTTCCATTCTTTCGTTTGTTCTCTATGACCAAAACGCGAATCTCTGTATAACAGTCCTTTACTTTTATGTTTCTATTTGTTCGTATCTAAGAAATCCTCTTAGCTGTGATAGATTGCATTTTATCTATGTATGTAATGTGTGTGTGTTCTAAATGATGTCTTTTATTCATTGCTTATTGCTTATATATATATTCTATCTATTCGTGTATTAACATTCTTACCCGGTTAGATATTTTAATAAATGGAAAAAAATATTCAAATAACTCGCTGTATATATATAAATATGTATTAGCGATGTTAATTATTTTTAGAAAATCGAGTAAAAGTATAGTTGATATATACGAAGAAATCTTATCCGAACATGCTCTTGTGGCGCAATTGGTTAGCGCGTTCGGCTGTTAACCGGAAGGTTGGTGGTTCAAGCCCACCCAGGAGCGCATTTTTTTTTTTGCTTTTAATTTTTTTTTTATCAGGAGGATAATCGTTTATCTCATTTTATTATTTCAAAATCATATCAAACTTTTTTTATTTTAGAAAAATAATGAAATTAATACAATTTTTTTAGACATAAAAATAGTGTTAAATCTATCAAATACAAACCTATGTGTATGATAATACATTTAAACTATCTCATGTACATGACGAACTAACCATTCAAGTGAATTATTTGATAATATATATAATGAAATTATTTAACATTAAAAAAAAAAGTCATTTTTTGTTTCTGTTGAAACAATTAAACTAGAATAGTCTTGTCTATATGTTACATAAGTATGATAACAACCTTCAATAAAATCATGCCTATTACTTTTTAAAGCGAATGTATGGGAATAAAGTAGACCATGATCATATGGTACATCAACAAGATGTATGCATGATAATGATTCACATGTTTAATTTTCACTTGCATGTAAAGTTAAATGAACTTGATATAGAAGTCAAAAATTACCGAAGTTTTATGATTGATTTTCTATATGAGGAAAAATAATCCAAATCAAATTTTGATTGACTATTGTTGTTGATGATGATTTACTACTAATTTAAATGAAGTTTTGAAATAAAATTGGATTATGTAATAACATTGGTATTATAATACGAAAATAAATAACATTAACTTACAGACTATTATGCCACTGTTGGATTTAGCCATTGGCTATAGCCCAAAAACTGATCCTGTAGAAATTCTATCTCTAGTCTTCCATTTGCTTCTAAATCTATTTACCTCCATAATTTTCTTTAAGTTAAATCAAGCTTTAATGTAACAATATCAATTGTACGATGATATTTGATAGACTCATATAGTATAGATATTATTTGTTCATCAAGAAAACTGTCATACTATAATATTTCATTGTTATACAAACGATGTTATAAAAAATCATTCGTTCATTTGATATAAACATATTTCATTTTGGTTTCGGTTCATTGACTATCTCACAAAGATAAAGTTGGTCATATCGACGAAGTAAAAGATGAAGAAAAGTCACGAACAAAAAAATAATTTTATACAACGCTTATTAACTTCAACGTTAAAATTTACAAAAGACAATAATAATAACAATAATAATATTGGATATGAAACACATTTAAACAAATTTAACTACGAATTACCAAATAGTTTCCTTCAAGCAGCAGATAATGCACGTATAAATGCTGGCTATGATATACTTCCTCGTTTTCTTCGTCGATCAGCTTCAGCATCATCATCATCAGCTTCTTCTCATTGTACTTGCAAACATCTTCAAACAGTATCTGATATTTTTCGATCAGCATCACACAAGGATATAAATAATATTCCCACTAAAAAAATTCCATTTCGTCGAACACCACGCGAACGTGTAAACCAACAACATCATTCAACAGCACCATTATTGTTTACACCTAGACCAGCAGTTCGAATGGTGATGAATCCTAATTTTATGATGATGAACCGATATCGTAGACCATTAAATATGATGCCAATCCGAACACCAATACGTATGCCACAACGACCAACATTTCAATTTAGATTTCGCTAATTAAATACAAATCTACATTCTCATTACAAAACTTTGACATCAAAACAAATTTTCTATCATTAAAATCGATTTGTATATTTTCGTCTGTTTATCAGTGACATCTTTAAAAAAAAATAAATTTCAATAACAAAATTTCTATAATTTTTTTTAATATTTTCTAAAATTTAATATAATATTAATTACAGAAAATCTAATAATATTCCCTAGATTTTCATTAAGAAATCTTCTTAATAATTCATCATCTATTTCCAATCATTTTTCTCTCCATATATTACACCTATTTATTTTCACTTATATTTCTAATCTTAACCATCGTCGATCTTTTTAACTATATACATATATTTTAAAAAAATAAACAACAACATCGCGATATGTCTCGCGATGCTGATCGTAATAAATTGCCACGTTCAAATAGTCATGATAATATTTCATTAAATCCAATTCCAAAAATAATTCATTCAAAACCAACATCTCATGGTGCTGGTGAAACGAGTTTTGGTGCTAAAGATGATGGTTCAACAATGTCATCTTCGAATGAATATGCTGCTTCACCATACAAAAATGCTTCATCAGCCATAGCTGTACGTTTAAAATAAATCTTTAACTTATTTTTAAAACTCAAAACCTACATATTCATCATTTATTATAGGTACTCGATATATTACCATTAACTTTTGTAGGTGTATTATAGACTTAATTATATAAAATTATTCTCGTTCGCTGATTTTTCTTAGCTAATTTGTACCATAATTTCATTTAGTAATTGTAGTTGTATTATGTATTTGTTTATTTATTATATTTTTTAGGGTGTTATACGTGGTCATGCACCTGGGCGAGAACATATTACAACATTATCGATTCCAGAACAACAACCAACAGTTGCTTATACAAGTGATTTATTATTACCAATTAATTTTCTTCCAGGAGAAGATGATGTTAAATTAAGAGATGGTAAATTAGAAAAATTTATACTGAAGAAATTAATCTTTATTTCTATTAGATGTAACTTATGGTCATAAACGAAAAACCCTCCAACGTGGTGAATTAATTGTAACTAAATATCGTTTACTATTTATTACAAAATCACCTGATCCCCTTCAAGTATGATAAAAAGATTATTATTAATTAATTCTTTTTTTTCTGTATTTATTGAAGATTCTTGTTGATGTACCACTCGGTATGATAAGTCAGATAGAAAAAGTTGGTGGACAAACACGTAGTAATATAAGTGATGGTGCTGCATATGGTATTGAAGTTGATTGCAAAGTAAAAACGAAAATATATTTTAAAAAAACAAAAAGATATTTTAGGATCTTCGACGATTTTTTTTCGGTAGTGCTAAAGAACAAAATCAACGACGAAATTTATATGACAATTTAACTCGTTTAATTTTTCCATTTTCTATTACCAAAGCAGATACTGGAAATCCGTTACAATTTTTTAGTGTAAGAAAAATAATCATATTTTTTCCTCATCTAATTATCAATTTAGTCTTTCTTTGCTTGGAATTATAAGAAGAAAATATGTCCGAATGAAACTGATATAGGATGGAAAATATACAATAAAGTACAAGATTATACAAGAATGGTATATTATCTTTTTCTAGATTATTATCATTTGAATAAATGTTTTCTTTTAGGGTCTTGGAAAAAACGGTGATCCAAATTGGATAATCGATACTGAAATAAATAAAAATTATTCTTTATGTGATACATATCCAAATACTCTTGTTGTTCCATCTAGTATTGATCTATTAAGATTACAAAATGTAGCAACATTTCGTAGTCGAAATCGTCTACCAGTAAATGAAAGAATTTCTTATATTATTTCAGTCTAGATTTATCTATTAGGTTCTTAGTTGGTATTCACGTGAAACTTGTGCAACAATAATTCGTTCAAGTCAACCGTTAACTGGTCTTAATCGTAAAAATCAAGATGATATTGATTATCTACATGAAATAGCGAATGCCAATAAAAATCAAAATTCAAAATTATTTATTCTTGATGCACGTCCAAAAGTAAATGCTATAGCGAATAAAGCGAACGGTGGTGGATATGAAGATTATTCGGAATGTGAACTTGAATTTCATAATATACAAAATATTCATGTTATGAGAGAAAGGTAATGCAATCGAAATTATACTTAATAATTAAGAAAAATTCTTTTTTACAGTTTACATAAATTACATTCGGCTATACGACATGGATCACAAGAAGATAAAAGTTGGTTTAATGATTCAGCTAATTCAAATTGGTTAGCTCATATCCAAGTAAGATTAATGGGTCAGTGAACGATGAGCACATGAGTATTCAGGTCCATAATATCGCCGAAAACAAAGAAAGTCAAGGCAAATATGAATCAACACGGATACATGAATTTATCGATGTCATTTTTTCCGGGCCAGCGCCCTAACCCACACTCAGATGCTTGTGTGCTTGAGTATCCTTGTGCTCATCGTTCCAGTTCTCAAGATTAATTAATATTTTTTTTTTATATTTGATTTTTTTCAGACGATCTTAACATCTGTCAATCAAATAGTTTCATTTATTCATAATGATAAACGATCGGTATTAGTACATTGTTCAGATGGATGGGATCGAACAGCACAAGTAAAATATACCTATTAAAATATAATATTTTTTTTTAAATTCATTTTTGATTAGCTTACTTCATTATCAATGTTAATGCTCGATCCATATTATCGAACAATCAAAGGTTTTATGGTTTTAATCGAAAAAGAATGGATTAGTTTTGGTCATAAATTTTTTTTAGTAAGTTCATCGAATATTAAAGAATGTTCGTTTCTTATTTCTTATAATAGCGTATTGGTCATGGTGATAAAAATGAATCCGAACAATCACCTGTTTTTCTTCAATTTCTTGATTGTACATATCAGTTAATACAACAGGTAAATCAATTTTTGCGAAGATAAAATCAGATTATTTATTATGTTTGTTTTCTAGTTTGAATCCGCTTTTGAGTTTAATGAAACATTTCTATTAAAAATAGCTGAGTATTTATATTCATGTCAATATGGTACATTTTTATTAAATTCCGAAAAAGTACGTGTTGATATGAAAATATCCGAATATACAATGTCTGCATGGACACCTATGTTAGAAGATCATCAAATTTATACAAATAAACTTTATAATGAAAAACTCGATCAAGTTTTACGAATCAGTTGTTCTTCTGAACATATTAAATTATGGAACAATTATTATTGTCGTTATATGTCTGATCATCAATCAACATCGGTAAATAAAAACTAAGTTAAAAAATAAAATAAATAATTTTTCCTATAGGATAATATAATACATCGTACGTCAACACTATTACATTTGCGAAATAGATTAAATCCTAATCAACATGATGATGAATCTTCTCAGCCACGATCTCGTTCATCATCATATGTAGGATCTGGTACACAATATCCAAATCCTTCACCAGCATTACGAAAAACAAAAGAATAATCCGTATTTTTCTATATTATACAGTCATGCAATAAATTTATATATTTTTTTCAAACTTATTTTATAAAATGTTTTATTAAAATAAATTTTTAAATGTTTTCGTTTTTCAGATCAATTTCCTCTTTAAATTTACCAACAAAGAAAATAAATAATGGCCTTAAGTAATGATGAACTCGCCTGTGTTTATGCAGCACTTATCTTAGCTGATGATAATGTTGATATTAAAGGTGACAAAATTGCATCAATATTAAAAGCTGCCAATTATGAAATTGAACCATATTGGCCTGGTCTCTTTGCTAGTGCATTAGAAGGTGTTAAGGTAACAGATCTTATTAAAAATGTTGGTTCAGCTCCAGCCGCCGGTGCACCCGCACAAGCCGCTGCTCCAGCTGGTGGTGATAAGAAAGGTGCTGCCGCTAAAGAAGCACCAAAGAAAGAAGAAAAGAAGAAAGAAGAATCCGATGAAGAAGGTGATGATATGGTATGTTATTTTTATTTGAAATTTTTTTTTTGAATACTTATTTCCTTTTTTGTTTTTAGGGCTTCGGTTTATTCGATTAAGTTCAATCAATTGTTAACACACATAACATCATTGTCATCTACCGTTTCGTTTTCTTCTCTATCAGCAATGTTTGTGTGTCTATTGTTTACGATTAAAAAATAACATAAGAAAAAAAAAAGAAGATAATTGTTGATATACAAAAATATTCTCTCTTTAATTCAAATCAATTGAGTTCAGAACTAAATCATTATTCAAGTGTTTTATCTAGCGAATGGGCGGCGCCTACCTTCAGTTCCGCTTCGCATACCTGAAAAAAGAAATCCGAGTCTGAATCTTGATCAAAAGTAAAAATTGAAATAATAGTTGAGTAGTGTTGAATAGGGACAAAGACAAAACGTACTAGGTGTCCCGAACATCTGGTAATTTGTCTAAATGTTTGGATTCGACTTTTTTTTACCGGGAGTCTATATAACATGTTGGTCAGGGGGGCCATAGCTTAACAAAATACAAATAAATCGGAACGAAATGCTGAACAGTATGTAAACTATTTTCAAGAAATCGGGTGATGGTATGTCTGTGGATGTGTACTATGAGAGAAGAATGACATATACACCCACACCCACACCGACTCTAACACTCTGCTTGTTTTAAATCTCTGTCATTCCGAAGATTTTGTATGTTTTTATATGTCGGGAAGTCGTGACGAACATCTTCTCAGGGAAATCGTAAAAAAAAGTTGGTGTATTATGTCTCTTTCCCGTTGGATATAATTCTCATACGATATGTTTAGACGCTTTTGTAATAATGTTGTTCATTCGCCTCAATGCGCAAAGAAAGATCAGAGAAGTGTAATATTCTACATACATTTTCTTTGCTCTTTCATCAAGATGAAGATAAAATTATAAGGAATGAATCGACGCTTGATCGGTAGCCAAACATATATTCTTTAGTTTAATTCGAGTTGAATTTATTGTCTCAATAATTAATAGATCTCTATTGTTATCTTCAAATAGTCAACAATAAACAGGCATGTATCAAAACTGAATTATTTAATTGATCTATTTCTGATGGATTATTATATTCTCATCACAATCTCGAATTTGAATACATATCTAATTACAAGAATCTGTACAAAGGCCATAGTTTTGGCTAAAAAGAAATTGCACTTTTATAGTCATAGAGAATCATATAGCTAATGAAATTTAATTTCATGCATACTTAATTCAGATCAATTCAAATAGATTTTTCTTTATACTCAATAAAAATATAACAGACTCATGATAGACATCAAACAGATTAATAGCATATGATATAATTAAATAAAATACTAATAGATATTCATAGATTTTATTTCTTTACATCTATCATAGATTACAAAATCTAATTGAAAACTTTGTCAAAGCGTGATTAACAGATATATGTTTATTGAATACAGAAGCTAAGAAGAAACTAATAAGAATAGATACAATTTCAATAACCTAATATCATAAAAAAGATACCAATAGCGAATAAAATTTCAGATATTATTGCTGAACGTGCAGAATTATTTGAAATATATCTTGTTTGTGACATGATTGGATCTCTTGGTACGGTAACATTTGATTGAAGTTGAAATAAACTACCATGATCGAAATATGATGATCTTGCATTCGTATTTATAGTATCAGCCCAGCCTTGTTTCGGTATTACAATTATATCATTGCTATCATCTAATCAAAATAATAAATTTAAAAAAATAAACAATTTTGTCTAAACTTACGAGGACAAAATCCGGAAAATGATACATTTGGACAATTATTTGTAGTTGAATGTAATGGTAAATTCTTTGTTAAATGACATGTTTTTGTTAATAATTCATATGTTGTATTATCACCAATATGTTCTTGAAAATCAAGTGGACGATATTCATTTGGATTTGTTCCCCATTTTTCAAGAAAAACAACATAATATTGTCCTGGATCAAGCCATTGACAAGCCATATGACCTGCTTTTATACCTTAAAGATAATAATCAATCATAAATATATATTAGATAAAATAAATTTTATTTTCTTCTACCTGCATCAGTTATTTTTATTTGACTTTCAATAATTTGTCCTTTTAGAATACAATCAATACGAAATGTAACATTAAAAAGTGATTCCGTATCACTTTCAACATAAATATTTTTTGCTAAAGATTCACCATACACAATAAGTGGTGAACGAGCAATTTGATCGGAAAATAACACACCACTATTTATACAACGACGACGTATTGCATGAATTTCAATAAAACATAATAAATAAACAGTTAATAATATACGAATCATTCTTCGTTTGTGTATATGTCAATGAAGAAAACGAGAATATATGTTCAACTAGACGTTCACCTTGTGACAGAATGAACGTTCATATGTTTGTCCAGTTAAATTCGTTCAAAGAGAAATATTTTCTTTTCGTTAGGTAGAAAGAAATGAACGAATGATTTGAATGGGTCAGAGGTTAGAATTAGTTTACATTTTAATGGAAGAATAGGAAGCAAAGAAAATGAGAAAAGCGGCAATAAGAAATATAATTATAAATAAGATTTCTTTTATTTACAAGTAAATAATCAAATCAGATGTTTTTATTCGATTCTTAAAATTTTGAACATATGATGACAAAGAGTGATTTCGCTTTTGTTCAATGTCTACAAAATGACATTGACCGGCCAAATAAGTCATTTCATGTTACATTGCTGAAAAATATTCTTATATAATTTTAATCATGCAATAAAAGTGTAAATCACTCGACTGATAGAAAGGATACTTATAATCATTATAGATCAAGATAAAGATAAATTTCGTACATTGAAATAATTCGAATTTATGCCATTCTTCAACGTAAACCATTAAAACCAACATACTTGAGATGTCGTCATGTACTATCATAGCAAATACTAGACGGTTTGTTATAGAGGAATATTTAAAATATATTTCTTAAAGCTATGAAATGCATCTTTACTCATTCAAATTTGTCTCGAATTCTTTTTCATGTATAGTTTTTTTTAAACATATTGATATTTATCGTGTATTTTTATGTTATAACATTATAAATTTAGATTCAATTCTTTTTCGAATATGATAATAGCCGCTTTTGTTTTGGTAGCAGATGTGCTTCGTTTCTTTCTTTTTTCTCCATTGATAGTACATCTAGTACTATCATAGACAAAGAATTTGGTGTCATAATACAAATACATTTGTGCTATCAGCGTTTATTTTTACATTTAGTCTCGTTTTTCGTTATAAATCTGACGTCATACAAACTATTTCTAATGATTCAATATATCCTTTTAGAAGTTCGAATATGTTGTACGTATTGATGAATTCTTTATATCATATAATCATAGATGAAAACTGATGGCGATTAAAGATTGATGATGCATAAAATAAACAAACAAACGAAAAAAGTGTAAAAGAGATTGATTTTTCTTTTTATGGCAATATAACGGATGGACTCTGTTACATATTGATTAAATAACATCGATAGAATATAGATGTGATAAAATGATTGATTATTGTTGTAAAAGTATTCAGATACAATATAAAACGAGATTTTCTCATCTCTCTTGTTTATGTATCAAATCTAGTCAGTTTCTATAAGTGTAAAACGAGAAGATTTAATTAAATAATGGAGACAGATATGATTCTATTGTAAATATTATCAAAAGTAGACAATGTATTTCGTAATAAAGATATATTTAATAATTTTATTGGTTAACTATAAAAAGACTATCGAATGAAAAAAGAACCTCGATTATTGCATAGCGAATAGGTCTACAAACGAGGGATGGGCATACATCGACATATACACACGTTGATTAAAGAGGGTAAAAGCATAGCGTGACGAAACGATTATCATCCACCCGGCAAATTGCATCAAGTATGCATCTCTATGAAATATTTATCAAAATTCATGAATCACTTTTGTTTTTTGTTACGATTCTTTTCAACAATAGAAAGACAATATAATATCTAGAAAAATCCTGCGTTTTTCTTATTGCAATTCTAAAAATTATTTTGTCCGTTATTCCAGAATTTCCTCATTACTTAACAAATGTGCAATAGAAAAAACAGTGTTGATATGAGTATATATATATATCTCCATTGTCAGCTCTCCTTAACAGTTGACAATGATGTGTATGATTATGAGATAAGGTGTAGATATATCTATTTTCTATGAACGATGGATAATATATGTATACATACATAAGCAATTCGATTAAGAATATAGGCAAGGAAATAGACATTCATCAAAGAAAATCCTCGTTCTAAAAATAAATGTCTGCATGTCACAACTGTCCATATCTGTTGTCTATATATGTTGTTAGATGGTAAGATGAACAAGTAACAAGGCTGTTGTATGCACTCGTTAATGGAAATGTCATTTTGTCTTTTGTACAATCGCTTCTTTTTCTTCTTCTTCTTTTTCTAGTTACATCATATACCTTGGATGCGTAATCATCATTTAGATGATCAGTAGCACTTCTCTGATTAACAATGAATGTTCGATACGACAAAGCGACAACTGTTGCTTTCTTTTTTTCTTCTTCTTCTTTATATACTTTGTCTGACTATCGATATGATCTATTCTATGGGCAACAATATGGTGGTAAGATTGAAGCAACAATAAATCAAGTTGATGTCGATTATTGATCTATTCGCATATTGACAGATGATTAGAGAGAAAAAGCTTCATATGCATGCGTTTTTTTCCTGGATATTATTAGCGATTACTACGAGGTAATACGAAAGAATCAATTGTGATTGATTTCAATATAGCTTTTTTCATTTCTTTTGTAAAACAAAGTAGTGAGGTAGTTTCATTGTTCTTTCTTGTCTGAGACATATGATTTTTATTGCATATTTTTTATTTTATATTGAATATATTTGAATATAAACTATTCGATTTATTGAGTAACTTCTATCTGTATTATGGCCTTGAATAAAAAAAAGGAGAACGAGAATGAGAGAGAGAGAGCGTAGAAAAAACATAGAGAACCTAGAAGGCTTTCTGTCTAGTGTTGTGTACGATTACGTGTATGCATGTGCATTTTTCCTTCTTTTTAGTAAGATTTCGTCCCTCAATTCGAGTGTCGCCATCATTGTGCGCAATGAGTGAGAGAAATGAGACGACAAAAAACGAAATTAGGACACGCATACACATGCACACATCAAGTCTATGTGTATGTGTATGAGAGAGAAAGAAGCAGAGAGCATAAAGGCACGAAAAGAAAAGAGACAGAGAGAAATGATTGCATTAGTCTAAGTCGTGCACACGAATATGCATACGTAAAAAAAACCGAAGAGAAAAAAATCGAGAAAAAGAGCAAACGCCGTAAGCGGGTGGTACAAACACTGTGTGTCTATGTGTGTGCACACGCATTTCGTTTTAAGAACATATTCTTCTCTTTCTCTTTTTTTTTCTTCTTTATATGTGTATATATTTGAATGTTTGTTAGTAGTGATGGTAGCCAACGTAAGATCAGCTGTTCGAGTATCTTATACAAAGATTATTTCGTATTTGTCTTTTGTTCTTTCTTCTACTTCTTTCGATTAATATCAATAGCTTTTTTTGAACATCATCTATGTAGGAGTATCGAGTAACTATTGTCTATATTCATGTTTTTACTCTTTTTTTTATGAAAAATATAAACCGTAGAAAGAGGCAATAAGCAAAAAAATAAGAGAAAAGAAAGAGAGGAATGGTTAGAGAAAAAAACAACGAATAACTATGAAGTGTCTTTGTGTTACTTTTTTTCGTATGTTTGTCACCACCTTAGTATTTACGCGTAAGTAAGAAGCAGTAGCGTAAGATGCGAAAGCAATTACAACCAAGGAAAGAAAGGGAAGAAGAAAGAAACTCGAAGGCCACGGCCTCCATGCTTTGCAAAGGCGAGTATAGTCGTAAGATATCTCAATAGACGAAAAAAGCAGGGAGAGAGAGAAAGAGAGCGAGAAGCATAGGAGTCGTTGCCTTTGTCGCGCGCGTCTATTTGTATTGTCATTACGATTATATTCCCGATAGGCGACGGTAGTCTCCTTGCACGAAAAAAAAACAGTTTTCGGCGATGCTCAGTCGATCAGGTGAGTGTAAATATGTATACATATATATACCTATATAAATATATAGTCGCAACTATTCTTCTTAAAAAAAATAATATTACTTCCATCGATCGTCACATGGCTAACTGATCAGTCATAAATGGATATCAACTTTTATCTGACAGTTTAGCCGTGTATGGATCTGAGAAGATTATACGACGATTATATTTATTTTTATTTTTAGAAAACGACAACGACATCTAATTTATTATACAAAAGATAATATTTTTTTGTAATATTTACACAGTTAAATAGTTCTATTTTGCTTATATCATAGTGATAATTGGAAAATCTAAGAGGCAATCAATAATATACGTATACATATATTTCTATCTTTATTGGTTATAAATGTTTACTCAAATGACGTTGTTTATAGAAGACATCATTAGAATAAGATATTATAACGAATATCAAGTTGTTTTTCTTACTAAGGATGTGTGTGTGTATGTGTTTTTTCTATTGATAAATAAAAAAGAACAATTAAAAAAATTCTTAGTAGTATATTTTTTGTTGATTTCAAATGCTTTTATTAAATTTAAAATTATTGCTGATTTAACGTAGTATTAATTTTATTCGAAAATATTGGTAAATAACTCAAATCGATGATATATACTCAGTCAAAGAAATGTTTCATTCAAGGACAAAATATATGGTATAAAAGAAATAATAATTTGATGTTTTGATTAGACAGAATGAATGTGATTTCTATAAATAAGCTTATATGTAAAATGATGGCATTGTATTTCACACTTTGAAGCAAAAAAGACGAGTTAAAAATTCTTTAGCTTTATCTAGATTGCAAAGTTGCAAATAAAATGATATCAATAAATATCTTATCATTTATATATATACAAATAAATTGTCTATCAACAATGTTCAGCACCGTTCGTTCGTTTGTTACGAACTAGGTCATTGAAGATAACACTAAACAAAAGAAAACGACTCATACAATCTGACATCAACTTAAAATATTAAATAAACGTAAACAGAAAATGAGCCGTTTAGATAGATAACATTTCTTTTCCGATGAAAGCGGATATGTTGCGATAAGACAAGTAATAAAATGAAATATATAAATGAAAATTTTAATCATTATTCGCTTGAATTGATTGTATCGTGTTTTTCGTATGATGTTACGAATACTTCTCTTTGGTCTTATTGTATTCTGTTGTATTATACAAACTCAAGATGCTATGTTCACAAATGGTCGGTCAATACAAGAAGTAAGAAGAAAATATAATGAAACTCTATGTAAAAACAAACAAATCATGTTTCTTTTTCTCAAAAATTTTAGTATATTGATGAAACAATGCATAAAATGATGGCTAAAGCTTCAAAAAAATTACAAAATAAATTAGATGTTTTAAAAGATAGCAAAGTTGCAATAAAATTATGGAAAATATATAAAAAATATTATCATAAAAATTATACTACAGCTGACGAAGAAAAAGAACGTCTAGGAAAATTTATTGATAATTTAAAATTAATTATTCAAGCAAATACGAATTATGAGAAAGGTTTAAAATCATTTAATTTACAATTAAATCAATATGGTGATATGAATTTGGAAGAATTCCGTGCAAAATTAACTGGATTGAATTCCGATGCTCAAGAAGAAAATGCACCAGCAGAAGTACATGCTCGTGCTCGACGATTTGTATTTGGTTCCAGCAAAGACAAATCAGACAGTAGTAGTACTGGAGAAGAAAGCTTTGGAAAGAAAATGAAGAAGAAAATTGGAAAGAAAATTAAACAGAAAATAAAAGAAGAAATTGATAAACAATTAAACCCGGGAAAAAACCGACCAAGCGGTTCAGGATCTTCATCAGGAGGATCTTTTCCATCAGGAGGATCTTATTCATCAGGAGTATTTAACCGGCCAAGTTCACGAATAAATCCTACTACACGAGCAACAAGCCGTTTAAGTAAAGGAGCTGTTGATTATCGAGAATATATGCAACCAATAGAAAATCAAGGTCGTTGTGGGTAAGTTTTAATTTCGAATTTTTAAATAAAATAACTTTGCCTTTATTTTTTACAAAAAGATCATGTTATGCATTTGCTGTTACATCCGCTATTGAAGGTACATTCAAATTTAAAAAGAACGAAGATATTAAATTATCCAAACAACAATTGGTTGATTGTTCGCCAAGTAGTGGCTGTTCAGGTGGTACTTTAGGGCAAACATTTAATTATATAAAAGAACGTGGTGGTCTTGAATCTGATAGATCTTATCCGTATGCAAATGCTAAAACATCTTGTAAGTTAAAATCTTCAAAAGTTGGAGCTATAACTGGCTATGGAAAGACAAACAATGGTGATGAAGAAGGAATGAGACAAGCTTTAAGTACTTATGGACCATTAGCTGCAGCTATTCATACAACATCTGATTTACAATTTTATGGTCCATCAAAAAGTGGACGTCCTGGATCAGACATATTAGATATACCTTCATGTTCAAAACAAGTTGATCATGCTATTGCTATTGTTGGATATGGCACAGAAAATGGAAAAGATTATTGGTGTATGTACTTACATATTTGAATAGATAAAAAGAAAATTGCTTTATTTTTTTTTCTTCTAGTGGTTCGAAATTCATGGGGTGAAAATTGGGGTTTAAAAGGTTATTTTAAAATTGCTCGCAATAAAAATAGCATGTGTGGAATTGCAACATATGGTTATTATACTGTGGTTTAATTTTGTGTTTTCCTAAATTTTTTTCTATTGCTTTCATTGGCTCTTGTAGCACTAAAGAATCTTCTTTACTTTTAATATAATAAATAAAAGATTCTCTTTTTTCTTCTTCCTTAAATAGAATGACTGACATGTTAATATGGCATCTTCGTTGCTTGTCAAATGCATAATTTTTCCTATCTGCTAATATATATAAAAACATAGACTGTTTCGAGTAAAATGCCACTTCTATAAACAATTCTTAAGAGTCAAACATTCACGTAGACAAATTAGTCTCTCTCATTCTCTTCAACATTTTATCAAAATAATCTTTTCATCAATGATTTGCAATATTGTACGATTATTAATATTTACATTATTAGTAAATATTATATTTGGCTTTTCTACAACATCAAATGACAATCGACGACTTTATCAATTGTTAAAACAACGTTCAGCTGAAAATGATAACGAATATGTTTGGTTTACACGAGATATTCATCAAAGAATCAATGATGAAGAAATGAAAGCAAATGAAAATGATTTATTTCATCCAAAAATCTCCAACAATATCAAACATCAAAAGTATCCAAATGTTAAAAATTCTATCTATGAATAAAAATTAATATTTTCTCTTAATAAATAATCTCGCCAAACAATTCTTATTCATTTTAAAATTTTATTAATAATTTGTTTTTTTTTTGTTTGAAAAAAAATCATCTATACTTAAACTTCTTCTAGTATTACTTGTCTACATTTCAAAATAGATATTGTTTCATATTAAATAACAAGAACAAATAAAAAAACGTTATTCAAATGAAAGAGAAAAGAGTCAATAGATTTTTTGTTGTTTAATAATTTATCTTATCTGAAATTGAAGTAAAAGCATTTTTTAATCAGAACTTGTTTAATTCAGATCTAGTACTTGACATCAGTAATGCATGGTATGCCAATTAGAATATTAATTTGTGAAATGTCAAATGCATTCTTTGAAAAATGAGTTTGTCTCGAGATTTATATTACAGTAAACATTCATGTTGATGATTTCATGACGTACATTATTTTATTAATTAAAATAATTTCGTGATTCATCTACTGGAAGATTCTTCTTCTTCGTCTATTATTTAATACTAGAGAGAGAGAGAAAAAAAGAATATTATTTGCTTTTTTGCTAAATATTGAATTGAAAAGGCGTAAATGATCTTCTCGATTATTAATGCAAAAGATAAGGTATTTTCTTATCTATATGATCAAACTTGAATTGTAAATTGTATGACATCGTGATCGAATAAATACATGATATTTAAATATAATTATATTGATAGATTTTATTTAAAAATGATTTTTTTTTCTGAAAATTATATTTTGTATATTATTGATATATCTATATTTACTGTTTGTCATTTGATCAGGTACGTCTCTGTATGAAATTCATGATAATTCTATATTAAAGCAAATAACTGACACGTCAGTTTCAATAAAGAGAGAAAAATCAAGTATTTGTTCTGTACGTGCTATTTATTCTGATTAGTTTTTCCATGATAAAAACATATTCTGAGTAATAAAATACGATACATTTCTCTATTTTTTATTCACTCACGTATTGTGGATTCAACTTTAACAAGCTAAATATTTCCTCGTCTATTACCAAAATGATGACTTTCAAAATTAAACATATTATCCAATTATTTTCTATCGTATTGTTATTAAATATCATATGTGCTGCTACTCAAGCACCTTCTCAACGTCGAGTATCAACTTCTCAACGTCGAGCATCATCTGTATCAAGTAATCAACGATCTACTGATAGTGGTTATAAATATGCTTGGTTCACAAGAGATATTCATGATGATATCAACAGTGATGAGGGAAACAATGATCAACAATTACAATTATCTCCACAAACAATACTTCGTATGAAAATACTTAAAAGTATTTATAATCGAAAATATCAAGATAGCGATGCAACTTCATCCGAATCAAATGAAGATCGTTAAAAGAACTTTTTCCGCTGTATAAGTTAAAAAAATAATAAATAAATAAACATATACAAGAATTCTTCTTCTTATTTTTTCATATGGAATAATTAATATTCACGAACAAAATAAATTCGCCTACTGCTATAAATAAATTTCTATAACTTGTTAAAACTCATAGTATGAAAAACTTACATAGTTTATAAACTGCTGAAAATATGGCAATTGTCATTGGTTTTTGCAATAGATGTTAAATCACTTTGTTACATACTGCTTTATTTGATCAATTTTGTCATCAGACAAATAATTGTTGTTTATGACAGTATGAGCACATACTCAGTACTCTCTATCAGGCGAGTTTTTGTTGTATTTATATATGTGCTGATTCATAGCCAAAAGTCATTAGCTATTATTCAAGATAATAAAGTTTAACTCATTGTGAACAACCAGCTGCGAGACAGTATTGTCTAACATTCGTATATTTCTCGAAGAAGACAAGTCGATACTCATTGTGCAATAATGATATCTTTATCCGTCATTTTGCAGGGTAGTCTTTCCCTTATGTACTTTCGATCAGAGTCTGAATTATCAAAAACTTGTATTAATTGATTTGGATGAGTATTAGTCTCAGTTTAGTGATAAATTTTATTTTGACTATAGATGAAAATATATTTATTGACAAGACTGATAAATGAACTTTTGAAATTATAAAAATAGCTGTTTCTTGTAATATAAATTACTTACCATTCTAGGGTTAGTCAGAAATAGTTCAAATTAAACATGACTAACTTGTCTTTTTCTTCAATTATTATTCTTGAATAATACTATTATAGAACACTTCATTTCAAGAAAAAAATCTCATTAAAATCATTTTTAACTAGTTTTCTACTCATTATCCTTCCGTATAATAAAGTTTTTATATAGAATAATATCTGTTGTAGTTTTGCATCAATAGACAAATGAATTTTTTGTCGGAGTTCCACCGACACGCTTCCAAATTTACTCGTATTTTCCACCGTCTAAGTAGTACATACAAGAACATCCATAGTCGCATCAGAAAAACAACAACGAACTATAAACACAACATACGTAATACATATAAATAAAGAAAACAAAGATAATAAAGACACACATACGAACAAACTACCCCGTATTTTAAAAGTGAAAATTAATGTTTGTTAATAAAATACGTTTTTTTTGTTTTCTTTTGTTAGATCTTTCTACGTAGAAAAAAAAAGAATTCTGCTGCTTAGTTAAGATATATAAATAAAACAAACGAATAATACGACAAAAGTGAATAAAACAAATAAGTATAAGAACAGGAAAAAATGAGTCTTATACAAATTTTTTCTATATGATGTTTTATAGATTATTAAGTAAAGTTATTTTAGTTCACATTCTCCATCTAATGTCCGTCATCATCATCGCCACCTTGTTGATTTCCGGAACTGCCACCGCCTTGTCCACCACGTGTATCAGGCTCAGTGCAATCACGTGCGAAATGACCTGGTTTTTGACATCGGTAACAATTACCTCCGCCACCACCGCCGCCACCGCCACCGCCACCGCCACCGCCTAAAACGAATTGTAAATTCAATTAAAAAATATTCATATACAATAGAAACTCACCTCGATTACTACGGAAGCCACCACCACTACCACCACCGCCATAGTTATTTGCGCGTGGTTCATGACAATCACGACTTATATGACCTATAAAAAAAAGATTTATCTTTGTAAAAAATATAATTCAATAATTATTAAATATAAACCTGGTTGATTGCAATTATAGCAGACAGGTTGATTACTATCCGATGGACAATCACGAGCAAAATGGCCGGTTTGATTACAACGGAAACTAACATAAACAAAAATAATATTAAAAAACAAAATAAAAGTTATTTAATTTTTACCAGCGACCACCTGATCTATCATATGAACCGCCGCCGCGATCACCACCGCCGCCATAACCACCACCTCCACGGTGTCCGCCTATAATATTAAAGGAAAAAAATTAATTATTAAATATAATTTTTGCTTTAATTTTTTTTTTCAGTATGAAGAACTCTAAAGTTTTCTTTCTTAGCTTTCAAAATAATATATATATCAAAAATTTGTTTATCTACTATAAACAATAACTGACCATATGAACCACCTCGATTTCCACCATATGAACCACCACCGCCGCCGTACGAACCTATAAAAGTAAATTCAATGATTGGAATGCCAAAACTTTAGCCATGTCAAACCTCGACTTTGATATCCGCCACGACTGCCTAGGAAAATTTTAAACGAAAATTTAAAAAAAAAAGAAAGAAATATTTTTCTTGTCTTACCACCACCACCGCCACCGCCACCGCCACCATCACCATCTGGACATTCTCGTGCAAAATGACCTGGCTATAAAAAAAAACGAAATTCAATTAAATAATTAAAAATTTAATTAATTCATCCTTACTTGATTACATTTATAACATAAATTTCCTCGGGAACTCATGTTTGATGTTCTATTTCTTTTTTGAGTCTGATGTTACTTAGTTTTTCTTCGTCTACTTCTCACTCCTATACACCCCACTTGCCTTCAAACACCACCTTTCTTCCTAATCTAAAAAAGAAGAAAAACATCTATGACTCATTCAAAATGAATTTTATTTTATTAATATTTATTAAAATAATTTTTATTAGTTACAATACAATCATTATTCATAATGCAACATATCAACCGTAGTTATTATTGTAGTTCTAGATAGATAGATAAAGTTTTATTTGAAGGTCATGTAACATCTATGTACTATTAATGCTATCATTAATCATCGTTTGTATTCTGTGTTTAGAAATAGGAAAGAATAGAAAAGAAATATCAACGAAAAATTTTGTGTTAAAACAAACTAAAATAACGATACGAGTATCAATGAGTAATTGTTATAGATAACAGATACAAAGAAAAAAACAACATCTAGTGTAGTTGTAATGGATGTAACCATATCTTTGTGCCTTCATTTAGCTTATATGTTAGAAATGCATTTGTGTGTTAGAAGAATAGAGGAATGATTAAAATTGATTCAATGGTCAAATAAATTGACCATTCTCTGAAAGAGTAAAGTAAATATATGTAAAATCTTTCATTTTTTATTTTATTTGAACTAAATTTTTAGATTTTTATAAATCAATATTGAATTAACCGCTAAAAACATAAATGACTTTCAAATATCTACGATCGTTTAATATGTTCAGAAGAAATAAAGATATTTCCACTCATTCTGAAACAGATCTGTCATCAATAAGTGATAATGAAAGTATTAAATCGTCACCGTTATCAGAACACGAAAAAATATCAATAGAAAACAATAATAAACCGTTGAAAATGAATTGTTGTTTAATCTGTTCGATTATACCTGCATTATCAAATGGAAATTGTTGTCAGAAACATTTAACATTATTAACTTCAACATTTGGTACAACAGTATTACCACCACAAGTTATTTGTATGGTACCTCCAGTAACTAATAGTTGCTGTAAGTTGAAACGTCATCGTCGATCATGCTCAAATACTAAACGACATCATTCTTCCAGTTCATCATCATCATCATCTTCTTCTTCTTCAAATTCTCGACATCGAAAAAAGAAAAGATCATTAAATTTAAAATCATTTGTAAGAATTTTATGAAATAGAAAATAATTCATAATATGTTATTTTTCTAGGATACAGATGATTCATCATTATCTTCAAATATAGAAAGTACTAGGATAACTAATAGCAAATCTCGAAAGATACCAATTCTTCGTCGACCACATCGGTAAATATATAATTTATCATTTACAGTAAAATAAAAATAAAAGATTGGCGGTCACATATTCGATAAATAATATTAAATAGAGAATTTTCGGTTAGAAAAGTGTGCGAAAAGAAACTTTCTGAAATCTTATTTTGCTATCAAATATTTCTTAATTGATTTATTTTCTAGTAAACAAACTTCACCATTATCTTCGTCAATAAATACAAATATGAAAAATATTAATAAAAATTCACGTAGACAAAGTAGATTTTTTTCTACTCCAAGTTTAACTCTCAATAGACACCGAACTACCACTCGAAGGTAAGTTAACAACCGATTGATTATGATAAATAATTATCTAACTTCTATTTTCTATAGACAATCACTTTTGCAAAATAAATCTGTACAAGTGAATAATAAATCAACGTCTTCAGAGCTAATCGAACTAGATCCAGAATTATGTATGTTGTTTTAAAAGATATATTGAAATCTTCAATTTTTACGCCACATATTTTCATGTGGATGTTAAAATACGAGGAGAACTTCACTTGAGCATAAGCTTCTTTCGGATTTCTAGACCAAACTCAAATTTGGCCCAAAGAAGTGAACCCAACTTTTTGGATTCTCCCAACTAAGGTTGAAAGTTAAAATATCGAAGTATAAAAAGATCGAAATATGAAAATGATAAGATTTTGGGTGTTCGAAACAACTTAATGGGAAAAATAAAGAAAGACGTTTGAGGGTGGGTGTAAATATAGATATTCATCTATATTTAGCCACACCCTTACCCACACCCTCATTCACATCCACACCTCTACCCTTCGACATTCTTATATTTCGACTATTTTTAAATTCGACATTTCTACCCTTTGATATTTTTGAATTTCGACTCTTTTCAATTCGACATTTGTCTAATTTTATTTCGACATTTTTACTTTTCGATCTTTTTATATTTCGACGTTTCTTCTTTTCGATTAAAATTGGGATTACCACTTTTTGTGAACCCAAGTTTTTCAATCACCGTTTACACTATCAGAGTACTTTGATAGAATTGACTGAAGTTCACGAAAAGTATCTAATCGGCGAGTTGTACTTTTCGTGAATTTCAGTCAACTCCATCGAATTGCGCTGATAGCGTAAACCGTGATTAAAAAAACTTGGGTTCACTTCGATCGACCCTCAAATTTTGTCCTAAATTTTAGGCTCTAATCATCTTCATTCGTTATCATATTCATATTGACAGTTTATACATTGAGTCGATTTTCCCATGAATCTCACTGCTGTTTATAAAGATCAGCTTCTAATTATTCTGTACTACATAGTTCTATTCAGACTCGAAATTAAATATAGATGTAGATCTAACATTTTGTATATATTCTATGTTTAGCATATTCTCCGCGTCTTCTATTGAAACGAATTATTCATGTTAAAGATGAAGATGAAGAGGTAATTCCAATTAATTCTAGAATAATTCTAAATATGAAACAAGCAACTGAACAAATGGCAATAGGAGACCATCCTCAACCAAAAATATACCTTCAACGTGTATGTGTAGAAAGATAAACGACAAATTATGTTTATTATTTATCTAGTCAATTAAATTTGTAAACATATGTTTTTGTAGTTTCAATAAGAATATTTTTTCCGTGTTTAAATTCCATTGTTTTTTTTAATGTATAGAAAAAGAAAATCTTGAATTATATCTAATGTATAAAAAAAAATAAATAAGTTTTCAATTCAGATGTCAAATTTCGAAGAGAAATTAAATATATTAAAAAAAAAGAAATTAACAGCAAAAACAATTGTTGAACAACAACGAAATGAAATACGTTTATTAAAATCATCAATGACAATAAATGAACGATTAGAAGAAATTTATAAAAGATTTGATAATAAAACCAATATTGATAATAATCTTTATAAGAAAATTTTACAATTATCAAATAATAAAAATGAAATTTTTTCATTAAATGATCAAATACATCAAACGATTGAAAATTTATCGAAATTAATTCAACAAATTCTAAATATACTTTCACTTAAAAATAATCATAATCATTTTAAAAATCAAGATTTAAATATTATTTTAAAAGAACAAAAAGAATGTTTTCAATTAATTAAATGGAAATTATCAGATATGTATGCAAATCGTATTGCTGATGAAGTTTCTTGTATAACAAGTTAAATAAAAAAAAAAAGACTTTCCTTTTTTAAATATTTTTAGATCAAAATGAATATTAATAAAAGAGATAAAATATGTTTTGAAGACTTGAATTTACCTTCAGGTCTAATTCTAGGATTATATTCTATGGGTTTTCAAAATGGTCCATCAGATACACAAGCACTTATTTTACCTTATTCATTATCAGAAGAATTTCAAAGAAATATTATTGTTCAATCTAAAACTGGAACTGGAAAAACGGTAAATAATTATAAAATAGATTGTACTGGTCAAATAGAACATTGCCATATGTTGAAACTAAAGGTGTAAGCCGTGTAGCTGAGCAGTCACCGCTAGACATAACCCAAACCCAAACCCAAACTGTTTGAGTTTGGATTTGTGCTTTTTTAATCTGTAGAAGACAATATTTTCGATACATTGATGGCAATTAAAAGAAGACCCAAACCCAAACTCCCAAACGGTTTGAATTTGGGTTTGGGTCATGGCTAGCCACCACCGCCGCCGATTGTATTCGAAATTTTCAAGCCGCCACCAATTACCTTAACGGTTTACATCTCTAGTTGAAACACTTTCATTTTATAGCTTGCTGTGAGCTGTATCTATAGTCAAAATCATTCGAGTTTCTGATAAGATATCGAGCTTTTGGGAAAGAGACATAACGCACTAACTTTTTTTTACGGTTTCCCTGAGAAGATGTTCGTCACGACTTCCCGACATATAAAAACATACAAAATCTTCGGAATGACAAAGATTTAAAACAAGCAGGGTGTTAGAGTCGGTGTGAGTGTATATGTCATTCTTCTCTCATAGTACATATCCACAGCCATACCGTCACCCGATTTCTTGAAAATATTTTACATACTGTTCAGCATTTTGTTCCGATTTACCTGTATTTTTTTAAGTTGTGGTTCCCCTGACCAATATGCTTTACGGACTCCCGGTAAAAATGGTAAAAAAAAAGTCGAATCCGAACACCTAGATAAATTACCAGGTATGCGGGACACCTAGTACATTTTGTCTTTGTCCCGAGCTTTTGATGAATTTTCTTTATAGTACGCTCGCTTCGGCAGCAAAACTGTAATTTTAAGTTGAATCGTTGCCTGTACAAAGTACACGCAAGCGTTCAGGTCAATATTCAAAAGTACAGCTTTTGTATTGAAGCGATTGTACTACAAAATATGTAAAACTCTGACTGAAAGGTATTCCAACAGTTGAGAATGTTATGAATAGAATATGTGAAAGTTGCTGGAATAATATATCTGAATTATTTGAAGCGAGATAGTTGATGAATAGTAGTTAGTATTTAAATAAATCTTGATGTATATAAATTGAGTTTTATTCGTATCTTTCTTTTCAAAATTAGTCTTCATATAATTTCTCTTTTAAAATATTCCGAAAATAAAAAATATATATCTAATTTTCATTTAGATTTCTTATATTATACATACTCTGGCTTGCATTCAATCTGGTCTCTCACAGCCACAAGCATTAATCATTGTGCCTACTATTGAACTTGCTCTTACCGTTGGATCTGGTATTGAAAAAATGTCAAAACATCTTCCAAATATCCAAATAACATATGTAACATCTTCTCTATCAATACAACAATCATTTACTACACCAATTATTATTGTAACAATCGATATGTTTGATTTATTACAATCAGTAATTGATTTTTCTCAACTTAAAATATTAATTCTTGATGAAATTGATACAATGATTATTCGAGAAGATTATCGACATAATTTACTTCATCTTTTTCATAATTTACCATTAATGGATGATTGTCAAATACTCGTCTATTCATCAACATTATCCGAACAAATAATGAATTTTACAAATCAACTTATACCAAATTCAATAGTAATTAAACAAAAATCCGATAAACAACAATTAGGCAATATTGAACAATATTATGTTATGTGTCAAGATGAAAATAAAAAAAATGATATTGTTAATATCATCTTAAAACAATTTCTCACTACACAAATAATGATTTTCTGTTCGACTGATGATATAACCGAACGACTTTATGAAAAAATTATGATTCATAACAAAAATAAGTAGGTTGAGGAAATTTTATATAGTATTGAAAATATTCTTTTTTGTAGTGTTCGAATGTTAACTACAAAATGTGATAATCATCAACGTGTTTCATTAATTGAAGAATTTCGTTCGAATTTCTATCGAATATTTCTTCTATCTGCTGAAACATCTGCTACAACTCATGGTATTGATTTAGATAATGTTAATATCGTAATTAATTATGATTTACCACGTTCACTTGGTATTAATTCCGATCTTGATTATGTTACTTATCATCAACGACTCGATCGATGTGGACGTTATAATAAACATGGTTATTTAGTAAATAAAAACCTTATTTTATTTCTATTCATTTTTTAAAAATTCTTATTTCTCTAGTTCAATTTAATTCAATCCTTAGATGATTGGAATATTCAACTTGGTCAACAAAATTATTTTTCTTTTGTTATTAAATCTATTGATATTGATGGTATACAAGCACTTGTATTATAATACTATTTTTTTGTTGTTGTTGTTGTTGTTGTGTGATTTTGTTTATTTTTGTCAAACAAAAAAAATCAACGAACTGTAATTCATTTATTTTAAAAATCAAATGGATCTGTAGACCATCGATTGATGAGTTGATCAAGATTAGATGATATCCATGCGGAATAGAGTAATTTCAATCGATTCTTATCTAAGTATAATATTCGACCTCGTCTAAAATGATTGAATTAAATAATTTAAATTCAAATTTTGTTTGAGTTTAACCTTAAATTAAGATCTTCTTCACCATGTTGATCAAGATAAAGTGATATCCAATAAGTATAACGTTTCTCACGTTGTATTAATGTTTTTGTAGAATTAATATTTATTGACATATTTAAATTACCACTACATAATAATAAATGCTATAGAAAAAAGAATATTAATGAATTCGATTTTATATGATAGTACAAATTTGATTTAACCTCTTGAATAAAACGTGTTTGTTGATCACAACATTGTTTTTTCGTACGTTCTTGTGAATAAACAATTCCGCAGATTAAACATAGAATAGGTTCAATAATTAATTCTTGACAATAGGAACAACGCCGATGGTTACAAGATCGAAATAAATCTGAATAACATGTTGGTAATTCAATAAATTGTGGAGAATGAAATACAGGTATTGCATGAATTATTTTCTATATAAAATAAGAAATTAAATAAGAAATTCTAAACCTATACGAACAAGTATTGATTGTTGTTTATCTAATATAAGTACTTCATCTAACCAATTGTTAATAATTAATAATGAATCATTAGAAAACCAATAAGGTTCATCATTATTGTATAATTTTAATTCATTAATCAGATTTTTCGATAAGTGATCAAAATGAAGATGATGATCAGGCTTAACAAAAAAAGATGATTGATTGAATTAAATAGAAATACTTACTATCCACCATGTTATCGATTGATAAAGATAATGTTGTATGAGAGCAGCAATTTTAATAAAATTTCCACATCGTTCTCGAATCAATGCATTGATTGATTCCAAAGATGAAATTTTTGTCTAGATAAATCAAACCATTTTTTTCGTCTTTATAATTTATATTAACATACATTATCAATATTTGAATTAAAATTCGATTGAAATAATTTTGATGAAATCATACGAAGATATTCGGACATAGTCTTCAAAGGATATTATTACAATTTATTTAAAATAAAAATAAAAACATACATTTTTAGCTTTATCTACTGAAATTCGACTCCAAATTTCTTGTTCAGTTTTATTCATTTCGCTAATAATAGTGAACAATGCTTGTATATAAGTTAAATTGAATAAAACTTGTACAATCACTCGATATAATTCTAAGAAGAGAAATCATAATCATTAATAGCTAAATATAAAGAAAAAAACTAACCTTTTGTAATTAAATAAGGTAAACTAAGCATAATCCGTAAAAGTAATACAACTGAATCAGAGAATAATAATGGAACTGTTTGTTCATTATTATTTAATTTCGTATTCATATAACCAGTAGCAATTCGATGCCAAAGTAAAATATGTGAATGATTTAATAAATAAGGATATTTAAGATTACATATATAGAATAATTCACCTATATGTTTATCAAAGAAGGATAATCTGATAATTATATATTGCTTACGATGGGGAACATCTCAAAATATCTAGTGAGTTCCGGTCTTATCTTTTGGCTGTACGTAGATCTCAATGCGGAAGAGAATTTTACCCACATCGTTTTATAGCCAAAAGATAGGACCATGAACACCTCAGTAGGTTTCCTCGTTAGAGAACATACGAAAACAAGATTTTCGATTAATTATTGTTGAATCAATAAATGGAGTATCACGAATGAGTATATCATTTTCTAGATTAAATCTAAACAATATAAAATCAGCAGAAGATGAATTTTAATAATTAAAATAAACCTGAGTATAGAAATAAGAAATAAAGCTAGAATATCATCGGATGGTTGTTTTATTTGTTTATCAATGGTTCGATAATTTTTATCTACCATTAAATATATTTTTTCAATAAAATTTGTTAACCATTCAGCAATTAAAGGGGAAATCTACATAGAAAAATAGATAAATAT